ATTTGAGCAGTCAGCCTCATGTATGCTAGGCTGCTTAGAATGGGTGGATGTTGGCTGGCTGGCTTAGTGGTTGCCGGGCTGCACTTGCTGGATGGCATGCTGGCGAGCAGCGCAGGCTGGCGGGCTGGCTAGCTAGAGTCTATCTTGCGCAAAATACCGCTGCTGTAAGTTGCTACTACTACTGTTTCATCCATGGTCATGGAACCGCAACAGTATGTTGTTGTCTTTTGTTTCTAGTCTATGCTAGCAGAATCCCTTGGTGGTTTCATTGTTCCCCAAGTGCACTGCCAGAAGACAAGCTGTTTGTGGGGCGATCTCCCTCATGTGGCAGGGGGGCACTAGCAATCCCATGCTAGTGTAGACTTACAGTTTTCGGGCGGGGGTGCGTGATCGACAAAGCATCGAGATTGGCGAGAAACACGCGGTTGATGCGAGCTCAGTGAGGGAGGGGCACTTACTTACTTTACAAAACTGGAATCTTGCACCCTTATAAGTTTCATGTTTGTGGTTGCGATGATTGTCCGGACACAAATGCGAGCATGGCATGAACAGAAAACCTCCTGATGGTGCCAAAGACCCAGTGAATCAGGAACGGCCAGCTGACATGGCACCCTGCGCTTGAGGGGGACATTCTTTTGGCAATGACCTGTTCGGGCCTATAGACCCCTCAGTCTGTGCAGATTTCATGTTTGCAAAGCTGCCTGCTTGCACATTGTTCTATCTTGGTGAGTGCTCTCTCACGTTGGTTCCACATCTATGAACGAAAGTGTACTGACACCATCGCCGCTGAATTTTCATTGTGTTGGCTGGTGGTGGTGCTGGTGCTGGTGCTGGTGCTGGTTCTGGTGGTGGTGGTGGTGGTGGTGGTGGCTGGTGGCGGTGGCGGTGGTGGTGGTGGTGATCGTGGTAGTAGGTGTTGGTTGCGTGCCAATCATGTGCCTACACGAGTTCAAGCTTGCTTGCACTCATGTACAGAAGCATATCGAACATCAAGCCAGGACTCCTTAGCAGTCGCCTCGGGACCTAGCAACTCAACACAACTTGAGGCACAGGGCATTGCGCGGTTGGAGAGTTGAGTTGGCGGAGAGCTCTCTAGTTGTTTAGTTGGGAACTTGACAATTGCAGAGGGAAACCTCAACCACTGTTCCAGCTGCCTTTTTCTTCCTTGGTGCAGGCACTGGAATGTATTGGTGCTGCAGAGCATCTGCTCAGTCGATCCTCCTTTATTCATTGAACATAGTGTTTGTCAGGCCTACACATATTCATATGGTGTTTGTATTGTTATTTGTGCGTAGGGGTCATACTTTCTTTCTGCCAGTTGTTTACATTCAGCATTCGCCCAAAGGTGCCCGACACGAGGATCTCCTTTTCATTGTACATTCTCCGAACAGAATATGTACTCGGTTTCATTTGTTTTGGGCCTGCAGTTTCATTTTGTTTTGTTACTTCTTGTTTCGGATGAGCATGATGAAGAAACAAATGGGAGGCCCAGCCTGATCGTTGGAACTCGGCACCGTCATGGTTCCGCGCCGCTGGGAGACCCTTACTTTAGTTCCTTCGAAGAACTATTCTACTGGCCAAGCCCCATTTGGAACAAGAAATGGATATTTTAGTTGGAGAAAGTTTGAGAGCATGTTTGAACCAAGACCAGCTTGGCAAACCTGATAGCACAGCAAGCCTGCTAGACGTTTTCCTGACAAGGAAGCTTGACCCACCTGTGGCATGTCCTGTCCAGAAGACGCAGCGTTTAACCTGGCAAAGCCATTTTTATGGTTGTGCTTTTTGTTGACTTGTCATGGTATGCCACATGGACCTGCCGACACTGTGCCACAACTATTTGTCGCGTGCCATTTTTTTACCATGAAGCTGAACATGACATCGCCAGAAGTGCCGGCCCAGCGGCTGGATTCCCATGTTCTCCTTCGTGCTGCTGGAGCAGGGCGGCTCAGGGCACAGCTGGATTTGCCCCTGAAATGAACCGGAACAAACAATGTATGCATATGTCTTTTCCACCGTGACTGCAGTCCGCACTGGGGTAAGCGCACTCCTGACCGGCGGATTGACCAAGGGAGTGGAGGATTACATATGCGTGAGATGAAGATGTTTGTTTCACCCTAGGCTGGAGCAAACTTTGCCGTCAGCCGAATATTTGTTTTTCGGGACGCGAGCTGGCATCTACAACCGGGTCATCACAAGCAGGGGTGATGTTAGCAAATACGCATAACAAGGTGGAATTAACATCAATAGTGCCCTGTATTGGATCAACGCGACTATGGCATGCAACCGTGATCTTCACACCGTAGAGGTTCGCTTGCGCCGGCAATAGATGCTGGTGCTCAGAACATATGTGCGTCATCTAGCAACAGGAAGGCAAGCATGTTGCTCAGCAAGATACTGTAGTTGTGTTTGACCAATACAAAAGCATACGGTCTTTTCTCCCTAATAGGGCAACGATGCCCAAGAAAAGACGCGCTTGTGGGAACAGTTTCATAGCGCAAGTGCAGTAAACATCCGTTCTCGTTTAATCGTGCCTGAGCTCTTGTTTTGCTCCAGGTTCCGTTTAGTGGAAGGAACACCGCAACTCAGTAGGCTTTGGAAACAATGTATGTGTTTTTTTCTTGGGAATATGTGGCGGTTCCTGGCACTCGGGTTGGGCAATCCCAAGCTATCCAGGCCGAAGCTCACAGAGCTCTGCGAAGAGGTACGGCAGGACCGAGAGCTGCGCTCTCACATGCAAAACATGTGGCTCGCATTTGGCTTAGATCGGGCCCCTCACGCGCTTGGAAGGCCATTGTCACCCGCCTTGTTAAAGGGAATTGAAAAAGGTCGCTTGAGAAGTCTAGAGAGTTGAAAGTCATGGCTCACAATGCCTCACATGAGGGATGTTTCTTTTCGTGCTGTAGCCACGTTGGGAGGTTAATCCATGGTTGGCTTGTGTGCGCGTCAGTGTGTTGAGGAGCTTAGCATAGAAGCTGCCAGCACCCAAGAGGGAGGTTCAGGCTGCGTCCAGGTTTTGGGGTTGCCTGGACACGGGAAAAGGCATTGATCTGCCCGCATCATATCCACTTTTGGCTTCCAGACTATGTCCGCTAATCTAGGATCCGGATGCTTAAACTTAAATTTATTTTGGTTCATGCTTCAGCCCTCTTTGGGTGGTCGGCCTCAAGTTTGACGCTCCCGACACGAGTGATGTGTGGATGTAAATCTGGCAGGTTGGTTTGGGAGCTGTATCGAGAAAGTAATTCTGCATCAAGCAGTTGTGAGCACAATGGCATTAAACTGCAAATGTATCGTAGCAAAGCCAAATTTGACTATGCTATGTCTCCCTGCTTAAACTCTGCGCAACGGCGCTTTGACGTCTTGACAGGGGCTTGGACTTTCCGCGAGCCACAGCAGTCCCCTGGCTGGATTTTGCCAGTTCAAGACGGTTTGCTTTGTTTCTCTTGTATTTGTTCAGGTGAGAAGAGGGTGCTTTATTGGTTTATTACGTTGCGCAAAATGGTCACCGGGCAAGGCGTCCCTTGATCGGCTTGTATTTCTCAAACCTGTAGCAGTTTTAGTTGTGGATTGTCTGCCCAGCCAGGGAAGTTCTGAGCAGTAGTAAGTTGGTTTGGGAATATTGCCAGCACAGCCAGGCCTATGAAACATTGGAGAGAAGCGCATCCGATTGAAAGCGATATATCTAGCATGATGCCAAGCACTGCGCATTATTGCTTTGCTCCGCCAACTTTCTGGGCCCACGCGTGGACGCTTGAATGGCGCAGCAGCTGATCACATGGAGCAAAGTTCAGAAAAGCCGAACAGCAAGAAGGAAGTTCAACAACCAGCCAGCAAAACACAACCGCACTTGAAGAGGCCTATGTGGTTTGAAAGCAGGTTTGGTCTTTGTCAAGCCCTAGTTGCAGCGACGTCCATCGCAAAGCCATTGTCCATGTGCTTCCCCGCCGTATGTGCCTAGGTTGTTTGCAGTTGTCCCTAGGTCCGGAATCTTCAGGCAGCCGTGCTAGCTTGGGACAAGCCGCCACCAATGCCAGTCACTCGGAGGGTTGAAGAGGAGGGAAGCAGCACATGGTCCTCCGATAGGATTGAGCTTCTTGATTAGAACTGTTTCAAGGTTGATGTTGGGCTGATGTCCTTTGCTGCTAAAGGATCACAGGCAGAAGGTATTTTAATGGTCCAGCACATGGCAACGCCAACCCTTGTTATGGATTGCTAAGATAATAGCATTGCTCAGATTCTGTTTGTATGGTAGCCCCAAGCTGGGCTCAAGGAGTGTTCCCTCCTAGAGATGACTGCTAGTGGGTGACACTCCGCAAAATCCTTGCAGAGGCTTGTCCGTTGTGTCGTGAGGTGAATTGTTTATCAAGGTCACGACGGATTTGTGATCGAACTCTGGAAGCGTGTTGGACCTCTGTTGGTGTTGGTTTGCATTTCTGACAATGAATTGTCGGGATACTGAGAGATTATTGACCTGCTATTAACTGCAGACAGGACCTGCACATTGCGCCATCCGTCTCTCAAACACAGCTCCACAGAGTGCATGAAGCAGGAGCCACAGCACAGAGTGTGATACCCAAAAAAAACAGGAGCTCAATACTGCTTCGTGTGACTCTTAGCCAGGTTCCCTACGATTGTCTGAGGGTAAGTACGCACATGGCACTACGTATTCCAATATATATATATATATTTAAATATATATATATATATATAACTGTGTTCCCTGGTCTACTCTTTATCGACGTCCCCATTTTGGGATTGATCTCAACGTTCTTTGATTTGAACATGAGGCACGTTGGATTAACGTGTGTTCCCATCAGCCTGCAAGTTCTTATGTTTCAATGCACATCAAGCAAACAAGCAAGCCGCCAAGAGCGAGCGATCCTTTTGGAGTTGACTTTCAACAGTCATTGCAACGAACCACGAGTACTGAACGGGCACGGTGCGTAGCGCCTGAGCGCTCGCACGCATGCCATGCACACCATATCTAGCACCTTTTGTTTGAACCAGACAGTCACCAAACTGAGCATGGCTGCGGATGCGCTGCGATATTTGCAGGCAAGGCATCAGCGGGTTTGGGCAACAAACGCCACAATCAGCTGTGGCTAATTTGATTGCAAGAGAAAGCCAGTGAAGTTCAATGTGTCATGCAAGAAAGCCAAACAACCCCGAGAAGCCAATGCGGCTAAGCTTGTTGTGTTCGTGTGTGCTTGTGGTTCTGTGTTTGTGTTTGTGTTGTATGTATGTGCGCATATTATTGTTTGTGTGTGTGCTTGTGCGTGTAATTTGTGTGTGCACGCTTGTGGGTGTGTGTGTGTGCGAGTGCGTGTACGTATTTGTTTGTGTGCTTGCGCGTTTGCATTTAGATCCTTGTTTCAAGCTGTCCTCTGACCAATGATGCCCCGGATGTGACAAGCAGCGTTGGGAGCCAAATGGCAACCTTTCATGAGGTCAGCTTTTTTTCCAGGCGTTGATTGCTTGAAGCGTTCGCCGTGCACTTCTCCGACTGAGATTGGGTTGGCATCGCTGGAGAGCTCGCGTGCTCTAGCAAACACTCGCTGGAATGGTCAGTGAGCTAGAAGCATTCCAAGTTGAAAGTGTATGCACCTTACAAGCCAGCGACCAGGTGCAAGAAAAGCAGACGAGCAGCAACAAGAAGAATCTGCATCACCCGTTTGAGGGCCGCAAGATCACCTACAACATATGCAGTTTCAATGGGGACCAAGTCGAGCTATGACGAGTCATGTCAGACAAGTGCAAACAGTTTGGCAAGCATTGAGGGGAGAAGATACTGGAGAGAACAAGACATGAGGTAGCAAGCGTGTTGCAACTGCAGGAGCAAAGCCGCGAGATGGGCGGAACTCCTTTGGGCGCCCTGGCCTGCCAGACGAGAGGGTTCACAGACGGGTTCATTTTTTGGGGTATCCCCGTTTGGATGGGTTGAATGCCGGACGCGTTCGTGAGCGAACAGCGGGTGCAAGTGATCCCTGGTGGGCGTAGGTGATCCATTGGCGGCGGGGGGGGGGGGGGGTGAGCAGACTGGGCCAGCTAAGTGGTCTTCCCCCTTTCTTGTCCCCCTTTTGCACAGCACATCATGCGCTCAGTGCTGGACGGGTTTGCGCTCTTGCCCACTCTTGACCAAGCACATCTCAGAGCGCTTTGGAAGACCCAATGCACAGAGTAGACATGCGCTTTCATCGCAGGCCATGTGAGAATGTAACATTATCTGAATCACTATGTTGATGCAAAGACAGGCCCAACACCTCACAAAATTGTTCTATGATCATCGGAACCTCTCCAAAACTACACCGCTTAGCCCAGACAATGCGTCTCAACTACGCAATAGAGTCAAAAGGAGCTCATATCGATGCAGAGCTGCCCTTGCTTTGAGCATTGTGCATTGCGTACACTTGCAAACGCAATTTGTGCGCACGTAAAATAGTAAAGACACCAGCAGCTCCATTCTGCTGCACTGCCTTTGCCTCACAAGCACTTTCCCGCATCGCAATGCGACACCCGCTGCATTCTGGCATCCATGCAAGTTTCAGCAGTACATACGATTTCATCCGGATTCCACGACTCTCATCATCCTTTGGTCGTCTCTCTTTGTTGTTGAGACATCATTGGAAATCGTCTCCGTGGCACGGATACCTTAGTTTTTGGGAGGCTAACATTCGCACTCCGAGAGCCCCAAAGTGCGTCCGCGTCCAAGGCCAAGAGTACGAAACTGCGGCTGCTGCTGCAGGGCCCGCCGTGGCTTTGGCCCAGGAGGGGGAGACTTCCTTGCCAGCGGAAGCAAAGGGGGACATGGTGCAGTACAGCATCTAGCCTCTCGCAACGTGAACTACTTTCAACCGTTTGTCAGACATAGGAAGGCTCCTTCTGGAACTCTGTTGTCTTCTAAGCTCCAAAGGGGGGAATCACCGCAATTTTGGTGAGCCTGGCGCAGGACCCGCAGCCAACGCTGCCTCGGCTTGAGGAGGACTTGATGAATTCAAAGCGTTCGTCGCAACGGTGACATCCAGCTTGCTTGTGCATACAGAACCTGGGCAGAGGGAACTAGCGGATTTGTTTGGCGTGTTATGCTGCAGGTGCTAAGACAATGTGCATGTCAAGTCTAAATCTTTCTTCCAGTCGGCATTTGCTAGAAGAGTCAGGACAGATACTTGAAATGATCACTTGTTGTTCCAGTTGTTACAAATGAACAGTATACAGAAATCAAACTGCATGCAGCCTGCGGAGGCGGCTCTGTTTGGGAGGGTAGGCTCGAGTAGGCGTTTCTCATAGGCTGTTGTTTCACCTCTCGCGTGTTCTTCTCGCGTAGGCATTTCGTGAGCGAAACGTGCTTCAATGCTGTTTTTTTCTCCCAGGGATATGGCTTTCGAGTTTCTCGCCTTCCTTCGCTCGTTACTCCGCGTAGGCCCTGCGTGACATTCGCGTAGGCATTCAAGGCATTTTGAGTACCTAGGCCTTTCTATCAGTCAGTTCTTTGCGCATCCGGGGAGTTCTATCGTATCCCAGTTCCTTGATCTTCGACTGCACAAGTGTGCTTTGCGTACGAGCTGGAGCTTGAGCTGGAGCTTTCAAAGTATACTTTGCAGAGCACACTTGAACTGAACTTCTGCCCACACACGCACCTGCAAGACAACACGCGCCACCACGTAGGCACCTTTGCAGCAGCATGTTGTGGTGTAGGCTGCGTTTGTGCGCTTAGTAGTAAGTGTATGGCCCTAAACCACCAAAACAAAACTGCTCAAATGGCATGAGGGTAGCTCATCACCCACGGATGAAACGGGAAGTGGGGACATCAGTTGAGCTGTTCAATCTGATTTGCCAGCTGCAGAGCTGTGCTTGTGGCTCCCTTGCATAGGGGACATTCCGGACCCGGAGGAGGGGCTCTTTGACTTCTGACGCACATTGCAATATTTGCCGGCCGATCCCAACGCCGACATCCGCTGATATCTACTGACCCTGTTGTGTGAAGGTCGTTTGGTGGGAAGGCAGCATCTAGCGCTCGTGAAACAGTGGGACCAAGATTGGGGTAGGAGCTGCGAACGCTGCATGAGCATGCCTGGACGCAGCTGCATCAGAAAACAGACAGGCCCTTGGCTCCCTGGCGCGAGGCGAGCTTGGAGGATGGTGTGCTGGCAAAATGGAGTTGGACAGCCCTTAGGACATCCCAAAAAAGCCCACCTGTACGATCCTGCACGCTACATGTCCTTCCGACGTATTTGGAACTTTGCCAGGCTGCTGCCACATTATTATCGTGAATAAATGCCTAAAAGGTGCCGGTGACAGGTGTTCGTCATGGTTGTTAAATGGACATTGCATACATGCGCAGTCATGTATTAAGACAACAGAGAGGTGTATGATTTTCTGACTAGCATTGGCAGCTTGGAAGCTGTTTGTTTGGGTTAGCAGTCTTGTTTCACAACAGGGGGCCATGAACACGGATGATTGAGCGAAACAAAAGCTATGGATTGGTGAAAGAGCAGTTCAGGATGTTACTGCATTGTTTGGGTGCCCCAATGTCAAGAGGGGTTTCAGTTCTAAATGCCTGGGAGTTTTGTTGAGCCGAAACTGCTAGGCATTCAGTTATCATGACAACCTCATTGCACGACATTTATGACATGAATGGCGAAGAGGTCTCGGAGTACCCGTGGAGTTAGACTGCAATTTGCTTGTGCGCACGCTTTATGAAAAATTGGATGCTAGTCAGATGATGAAAAGTCACGCAAAGTCAGACGTTCGAGTGAGTTTGGCTTCCGACATGGTTTGGGCTACATTATGTTGATACTAGGTGTTGGTAATGACTCATTCAGATTGTTCAACACATCGGTTGCACTTTTATTTTGTGAGGGCTTCAAGGGTAAGAAGGTCCTTAACACTCAGGGCCATTAGCCTTGGAATGTTGGACGGGCTATGGAAAACGTGGCTGGTGGGGTGTTTCTTCAATTGGAGACCTTTGAATGATTGGTGTCTTCTTTTGTTGATTCCTTCAAGCATCGAAGCAGAGGGTCCCTGCTTTGGGACACATCCAAATGAGATCAATGAGCACCTACAGGCAACGGGCAAATCAATCTGCACTCCAATTGCTTTGCAAATCATGACATCAACTGACTGTGTTTATTGTGAACAGCCTTGAGTAGAAAAGTTGTTGCTTGCTGCTAGTATTGTTTTGCTTTTTGTTCCGCAATGTTCCTGCTTTCAGGCAAGCTGATGTGGACATCACGCAACGGTACTGGCAGGCACTTTGTGTTTGCCTTGGCTTTGGTAGGTCTTTGCAGTGTCCTGCCTGATGCGCTGCGAGCTGGAAGGTGGGCCGGACTGGAGCCTAAAGTGCCTTCCAGGGATGCCAGCTACAGACCCACCCGGTCTGCACGGTTGTGGCCATTTGCACATCTTGAGTGCTTGTTTTTAGAATGTCGGGAATCACACTAAATAGCGTCAAATGGCAAATCCGATTGGCATTGGAAGTGTGGTCTGCTCTTAGGGAAACAGAAGAGTGCCTAGAATGCACCTGGAAGGATTATTGCTGGTCAGATTTGATTGCTTGCAGAGCGGTGGGCCCGGCTTTCATTTCCCGGCAAAGGGCCAAGGGCCAAGGGTTTGCCATACGGCAGTTTCTCAAAAGCCAGGGGCCGTGTTGAGGCAATCAGGTGGCCAGTCATTCAAATTCTTGTGTTCTGTTCATGCGAAAATGGCTGAAGCGGTTGAAGCAGAGGCCGCGCGGGACGGCCTTTGGAGGCACTGCGCTTGGTAGACCTTGGCCTGGACCTCAGTCCCGTGCACACAGCACATGGTTCAAGATATGTCGTAGTATGCCCAAGTACCCAGAGCGCCTTGGCTGTGAGCCTTCAGACCTATGCCCACCAATACATCGCCGGCGAATTTAGAAGCCATGCAGAAATTGTGACACCCATCTTACTGGTAGTCATGTTGATGTGCATTCCGTGTACCATGTTATGGAGATGATTATGTGCAACACTACTGTTTACCAATTTGTGTATACTAGGCTATGTGTTATTACGAGAGCACCAGGGAACGATTGAGGCTGCACGGATACATAGGACATAATAGCTTGCCAGCGCGCACAGAAAGGCGAGGGATACTCGCCGAATGATTGTGCCCAAGGTCTGATCCTTGGAGGCCCCGAGACCTTTGTGGCGCCCGGCCTCTTCCAGCACGCTCGGAGCCTCGCCTTTGTGACTCGGCGTGTTGAGGGGCGAAGTGAATACTCTTCGAGTTAGCAGCTGGAGTGTATGTGGGGCGCTTTCTGTTTTGGCTCGCAGTGCGGCCCAGGAACTCTCTGAGAGTCCCAGTGCCAAGCGTCCGCGACAAGGCGCTGGCAACCTGCAGCCTTGATCCGGAAAGGTGCCGAGAGGTTCTTGACTTGTAGGTATGTTCCAGCCTAGGCTCCAAGTCCGAACATGGAACATCTCCAAGACGCCACGAACCACATCAGACTAGCACCAGACACGTGAAGACATGGTGGCAGCGGTGTGCCAGGCCGCCTCTTTGAGGCGGGAACCGAAGTTCTCCCCACGCTGCGACGACGCTGCGCTCAGCGGGAGGAGGTGGACCTAGAACCCTGAATTAATTTGAAGTGTTTCAAGCGGTTAGCTGGAGCAGAATGTGGCTCTAGGAGACAATGATAGCAATGATATAGCAATGATAGCTAATCACCCAATTCTCTACCTAGGGTTCCTTTGAAGGCGAGTTCCGAGTGCTTGGTGGCCTCAGGCTTTGTGCCAGCGACTCGAGCCGAGGAGACCTTTTTGGTGTCCCACTTCGCGCCAAAGACCCCGCTGATTCTGCGCAAAGGCTGCGCCTGGCCGGCGGTAAGGCGCGGGATGACAGGAAAGAGGGAGGTGGAACGCCGACAAACAGAGAAGAACAACGAGAGAAGCAATAGAAGAAAAAGACAGAAAAAGGGAGAAGTGCAGAAGCGAAGATGGTGAAGCAGAAACAGAAGCAAGAAAGCAAGAAAGCACGAACTGACGAAAGCCAGGAAGCCAGGAAGAAAGAAGAGAAAGGAACCAAGGAAATGGCTTGCAGTCCACTTCAACACATTTGCTGAGCCATGTTCGAGATGGTAACAAAGAATATAGGAGCACTGCCCAGCTTCTTCTCAGCATGTTGCCATACGAACCCACACATCTTTTGACCGGGCTGCTCCGGGCTAGGCGCTGGTCAGAGGAGTCCTTTTGGTGCGGAGGACCGTTAGGCCAAGAACTCAGACAAGCTGCATCGCGGTGTCGGGATGGCGTGGTGTGGCACAAGGGAGGGGACGAGATAGGCGGGCCCTGCGTGCACCCGAAACAGCGTGAAATTCAACAGCAGCAAATTGTACATCATCAGTGCCATATAGGAAACATAGGTGCCCACATTGTTTACGCTGCTTGAAAGCAAGAGGACCGAGTTCAGGATTCATCTACCCGGTTGTCAGATGTGCAAGTTGAAGGATTCAGAATGATTCAGATGATTTTTCGGTTCCATGCGCCTTTGTTTGTTGTGTCTAGCGGCCCAGTTATATTACGTCTCACCTTCGGGCCGTGTACATTACACCGTTGATAGATGGCTTGGTGTCTCCAGGGACCCTGTAAGGATATACTCTGTCCCAGTTGAGTCCAAGAGAGAGAGGGTATGTTGCTTCATACACTTTGCGTAGGGTCGCGGGACCCTTGCTCAACTCCGCAGCCTCAAAGAAGCAGTTTAGGATTCTCAGAGCCTTTGCTTTCCAGAATCTGCAAGCTGTAACCAAGGTATCTGAACCTGCATGCACTCGATTCTCTCTGACGCCCTGAGATTTGCCCTCTCTGAAGCCACAGAAAGGGGCCAACCAAGCTAGTTGTTGGTCCGTTGTTCGGTCTGCACTTGTATCAACACCCTCTTTTCTGACAGCTTCGAAGAAATCTGGGGGCGAGGCTCTGAAAGCACGCAGTCAGCACCATGTGATCGAGGCTGTTGCCTTGGATAGCCATGCTGTTTGACCCACACATTGCGAGTCATGCCTATCATGTATTCGAAATTTTGACCACGGCACATACCAGCTAAGTTTGTTGGGCAGAGCAACTTGAATTGTGAAAAGCGGAGGAATCAACGACATTCGCGCAAAGCTCGTTATCCGTAGGCTGCTGATTGGTTGTTGGTAGCATAGCGTTCTGCGGTTGAAGGTTGCTTGCCGGGAAATCTTTTGAGGTCAACGCTTCGTGCCCGTGGAGATACTTGGGCAGCAATCGCTGAAAGTAGTTTCGGTTTCGGCTCCTTGGCCAGTTGGCCCTCGACTGTTGGACAGGAATGTTGCCCGGTCGGAAGGGGCTGACAGGCACACCTTCAAGAAGAAACAAACTCATTCACGGAGTGGCTCAACCAAGCAATGAATGTCCTCACTTACAGCACTTAATTTTCATACTATGTACGTAGGCCCTTTCTGACATGTATGTTTGAAGCATTTGTTTTGTGTGATGATACGTGCGCCACATTGTGTGCAAGGACGGATTATTGGATGGATGAGGGCTTTAAGATCATGCAGCTGTGCGACTTCGTGCAGCATTGCAGTGAGGCGCCTGCTATTGCGTGCTCTGTGTTCTTGCAAGTTAGGTTCCATCCTGGTCAATCCAGAAAAAGGATTAAACCAATAATGTAGGTTAGTTTTCCGCAGCATATGCATATACCAGAGCACGTCCGGAGTCGGGATCAACCGGTCTCAAGCAAGAGTTTCAGGCAACAAGCTACCCATCAACGTGGTCCGGTTGGTAACTTGCCTGTGATGGACATATTTATTACCATTCTCTTTGTGGGAATCGTGATGCATGCTTGTCAAGATTTGTCAAGAACATTTTCATCATGGGAATGCAGCTTATTTCAGATGTAGTACACATCTCAAACATGAAAGGCAGAACATTGTCCAGAATGCTACAGGCAACAAACGGCATTTGACCGCAGATCGTGTTCAATCTGTTGCACACTGCTGCTCAGCCAACAACATGTCACTGTCCGGACAGGTTTTCTCGTCATGCTGTTCGCCGTGATTTGCAATCAGGAAACAGTGGAGAAACACCCACTTAGTCCCACGTGTGTTTCAGAGGTGTCTTAGCGATGAGGAAAAGACACCGTGTTGTATTCAGGATTTTTATGGTAGGCAAGTTTAGGAGTGGAGGACTCGTGAAGCAAGGCAGCCATAGTTTTGAGGACGGTTATGAAACTGTCCTTTTCGGGGAGCGAAGCAGCTACGTGCCCCTGTGGGTCGTGAATTAGTTTCGAGTGGGCGCTTTGCTGGGGTCACCTGTTTGGGGCTCATGCTTGAAGAAATGCAACATGAAGTCATGGCAACTTTGCCATCGGAGGAGTCTGTTTTGAAGTATTGCCGCGTTGCCCGCAGGTCGAGGGGCACTCTTCAGCCTTTTGGCGGCAACAACCACATTTCAGTGAAAGTTGCGTTCCTTGCGGCCTGGGTGCTTGGGGCAAGGTGGCAAATTTGATGAATCAAATGGGCAAGCCTGTTTGCCCATTGAGCCCTGGGGCCTTCTCAACGGATGATGAACGATTTTTATACTGGGTTCTTGCCTCATATTCGCCCAGTATACCTCCAGAACAAGTTGAGATGAAGCCAGGTGCCTGCTTGGGGATGAGTTGTGCATCGCCTGCGCCTTCGTAGATGGTAGATCGCGTTTGTTTTTGTAGGTGTAGCTTCCAAGCAAGCCGGATATGCATCATGCGGGACGCTGTCTTAGTCTTGTTTCCAAAGGGTGCCGTCTGGTTCGAATTCCACTTCAATGGCAAACTCTTCAAGGAAGCGTGTGCAGTGCTAGTTTCTGCCTGAACAATCCTGGTCAGGGGAAGGCAGCCTTATCAACCTGGAGGGCGATTAGTTATTCCAACGGTGGCCACATTCACCCTTCGCCCTAGTCAATCCCGACACTTTGTCAGACATAATTAGACTGGGCTTAGAACGACTGCCGCCAGTCAAGCAATGTCGCTCACAGTCATTGGATTGTTGCTAGTCCGGACGCTAGTGCGTCAGGCATCTAACTTCCTTGCTAGAGCAAGGTGTTTGTTCCGTGACAACCAGCCATGTTCAGAGGCGCTTTGTTAGTGTTGGCTGTACCACATGTTCAACATCGTGTTTCCGACGCTCGCACAGCTACAAGCACAAGAGCTGGAAATTCACATGTCTAATGCACATCATATATGAATGTATTCTTATTGTAAACGCATCGTGTTGCCCGCCTCGACCAGTAATTATGGTTTTGGCTGGCTTTGAGGTACTGTGTCTCGGTTTGCCTTTGAGGTGTGGTGTTTGTTTGAGTGAGGGAGTCGGCACCGACATGCGAGATAGAGGGTGGGTGCATGTTCGCGCGTTTCCACATGGCTTCGTTACAGAAGAGTAGTGGACTGGGGCCAAGCGAAGCCTGATCGAGCCACCACGAGAATTTGGTTGGGGCTGGCCTGTCTAGAAATTTGACGAGGTTCTAGAACATCTGGAGCTGGACTGTTTTTTAGGGGGGAATTGACCGGAGTTGGACCGGTGTTTTCGGAGGGGATTAGATTGGTTTCTAGGGGGGAGGTTGAGTGGTTTCTAGGGGGGAACTTAGGTTGATTTGACCAGAGGCATGGGGACTTGATTGGTTTAGAGGGGAAGTTGACCAGTTTCTAGGGGGGTTGGACCAGAGTTGACCGGTTTCTACGAAGGATTTGCTCTGTTCTGCGTAAGAGTCTCACTGGACATCTCAGGAATGACCTGTTGAGTCGCCTAGATGCTGACTGCGTCGAGTTGCGCATCTGAGCTGACACCGACACGCGCTTCCGATCTTACGAGTTCCTGCTGCGGAACCTTGTCGAGCAACGCTGCCAGTCATACCCCGTGGCGGCTCCATACTTTCTTACTCGCGACTGTGGAAAGGGATGAGTGTAACGGCTTCTTCGGTTTGCAAAGGCTCTGGGCTTCCCAGCGCCCGCGCGAACAACATACAATCCTTGGAGGGCGCGAGGACAGCCTTGGAGGCAGGTGCAACGGGAACAGTGGCTCTTGATCCGCCCCCCCAAAGGATCGAGACCGGCCCCTCACATCGAGCGCACGTACTGCTGGCGCATCTGCAGGGTCCGGGCGGGACATCCGCGATGCTCCACTTTCGTGTGCTCGGCAGGCTGCGGAACGAGCGGAAGGGTTCAGACATTGGCCCGTGGTCGTGTGTTTCTGCCAAATCGGAGGATAGTTGGAGAATGAGCTGCCGAGCAGGCCAGAGAAAAAAACCTTCAAACACTGCTTTGCTACAAAAGAGGAGACAAAGGCAATTGCCCTTCGCACATGGCGCCCAAGCGGACGTACTACTAATCAATGCTCCGCAAAAGAAGAACAAGCTGCAGAGCAGAACGCGAACGCGTTGCGAACAAAACGGGTTCTCGCTGGAAACCTGCAGGAGGCGGAGTAAGCGAGCAAACAGCTGATGAAGTTTGAGCTTGTCATGGTGCTTCGCCAGAAACAGAAAAGGTGCGAGCGCATACGTAGTCTGCTTCCAGGTTGTCAGGGTTGCTGTGTGCGCGTGCTGGCGTGCACACGGGCAACCAAATCTAATCTGCGTATTGAACCTAAACATAGATGCATTGATGTACTTGCGTCGCCCGCACGCCCGGACCATACCCTCGAACCATCCCTCGAACTATACCCCCGAAGCATACCGAGAAGACAACATCCTCAAATTAAACGAACACTGTGTTTGCGCGCACACATGCAGGGGTACTCGGAAGTTACACTTTTAAACATTGACAGGTTCCGGCTTGCTGGTGCCGTAAAGGGAGCGCTGTTGAGTGTTTATAATACAGACATATTTGCATCAGATGTATCTGGAAACATGGTGCATGTCTTCAGTTTTTCAGTTAGGGCGAGATTTGTTCAATATATAGTTGTTGTCATCATGACATCGCCTCAGACTTTGCACTTGCCAAGGCTCCATCCCGTGGCGGCTACTTGGCGCAGCATGCCTTGTTTGACCAGCTGCCGGAACTGGAGGTGCAACAGGGGTTGTGGGCTGGGCATGGGTGGGCTTGCTTCAAAGCTCCTTGCAATGTGCACCATTCCATGAAGCATTCTACACCCGCAACCTTTGGCGGAATTGAAAGCTAGGGTGCTCTCGGCGCAATTCAGGCACACCGAGCCAGTTATGGCATGACTTCAAGCTGTCCGGCTTTCGCCGATCAGACTTGCTACCCCAGAGCACATCAACATAATGGCTTCAGCTCACAAAGAGTCCGTTCCCAGGAAGCGTCAGCGTTGCATGTTCTGTTAGCGAATGCCAAAAAGAGGGGAAACGGGAGCAGGCTGAGGCTTGTTGTGAACAAGTGCATTGGACAAGCGCCAAGACAGTGTCCGTGGTGCTGAACATTCTGCGTACATGAGTCGCAGCAAGATTCGCAGTGGTTGCTTCAGCTTGGCCACTTTCATTGTGAAAGGGACAATGCAGTATCCAGTCTGAGCATCACTCGATTTCACTGCCTTTGCCCTCCCACGCCAGGAAGTGCCATGCGCATTTATTCCGATGACAACTGATGATGCTCGGATTCCGGCATGATCGTTCTGCATGTTGTTCCCCTCGCAACTTGATTCATCAAGGTAATGTCCAGTATCTTGAAGCCATTTTTCGCCTGACTCACACCATGGACCGCTCAAGATGGATCAAACGGACTGCCCATGCCTATGGATAGGAAGAAACATATGAGCAGCGTTGATTTTGTAGTTTTCCGCACGATCGAAGAAGCCAGCTGCACGAGTTTCTACAGGCAATTAGCAACCCTCCTGTTTTTGGTAGGTGTTTGGCCAACTTCCTGCAGAAGTTCCGTAGCTGGTTCTACGACATAGGTTGCACGAAAGTCGCCCCAGGTTCGGCAAGAATGCGCAACAACCCTGCAAAAAGATGGGCCCCGCACGAAAAACAAGCATCCCATCCAAGCATGTACTGTTGTCGCCGGGACAGCACGTATTTGAAATTTGCATTACCTTAAAACAAAGCAAAACGATGGGCCCCCTCTGCCCAAAATCACATGTTTGGCTGCACTACCAGTAATTATCACTGACGGACCCAGCGCGGCAAAGTGGAACTGGTCGCCCTTTGCCTTTTGCCCTTTGCACAAGGCAGACATCCTGACCCCGGAGCTAGCTTTGTGCGGCGAAGGATCGCTTCTCCGGCAGGCCTGCAAACCTGCATTTCTCTGCTGCAAGGTTAAAAAAGAGAATTACAGACACAGGCTGAGGTTCATATGAGAATGGCGCAATGGATCAAGTGGACGAGGAGGTTCCCTGCATGCCCTTGTGTTAAAGCTCAAAGATGTGGATGTAATCCAACCGCAGGTGTTCTTCGGGCCGAAGGGAACGGTGACTCCTCTGCACTTCGACCCTTACGAGAACATCTTTTGCCAGGCCAGGGGCAAAGAAATCATGAGGAAGGTGGAATCTGCAAGCCGCGGTCTACCATCAAGGGTAGTCATGGTGGTGACTAGATTGTTCACCGCGGCATGTACAAGTATCAGCGGATTGTCATTACTTACGTAACAGTGTGTCATGGCGTGTTGTGTTTGTCGATTTGAGTCTCGTTGTCACTAGCAGATCTTGCGAGATGTGCATCGCCGAAATGGTTCGTGCTTTTACCATATAGTTGAACATAATGCAGGCGTTGCTCCAGTCTATTGACTATGTCCTGTAGAACCTCAGCGACATCTCAATTCTATCAGGAAGTTGCCGTTGACGCTGGAATTCGCATACCTGGACCTTCCGACATGTAAAATTAGCGCCGTTTCCCAAAACAGCAATATGTTTTGCCGGTTGCTGAAAAAACAACGCTCTTTCTGAGAAAAAGCGCTCGCCGTGAGTCCAGCTCGTGACCAGGCAAAAACAAAAACGCCGTTTCGCCGCAAATTACACCGTTTTGACGGCAAATTACGCCGTTTTGCAATTTTGATTGATGCTAGAGTGTGCAAACACTGAAAACTGCCAGCAGGCGAAAATGATTGCCGTTGGGTCCAAAAACATAGCATTTTACAAAACAGCACTAAGTTTGCATCCTCTAAAAGTTTTGAAACGATTTGAGGCACCTTCCTCTAACAAAGCCAGCAAGCACTTTCCAAGACTGTATAAACCGCTGGGATGGCAGCTTGGTTTGAAACAGAGACATACCTCAGACAGCATTAGAAGTTAGATGTGTCTCCGTTGAATCATCAAACATTTGGGGATGACTATTGCATACTTCTTAGTCACCTTTGCTTGGTAGTTGACGCTTGGTTTGGTGCCAATTTTGGTCAGAAGATTCAATCGGTTCGCCATTATGAAAGTCATTTTTGGCATTGACTTTGTGTCAGCTTTGCAGTGGCGTTGCATCAGTCTCTTTGATTTATAAAGCGCCGGTGTAATGTAGTCCTATCATGTTAATTTCAGGATTGGCTCTGGTGAGAAGCACATGAGCAGCATGTGACCGTGATGAGAAACATAAGTTATCACAAACCATACTGCGGTACTAGCAACCATCACGACTTATTGCTGACCTCCTCAAACACATATTAACGCTGGCCTTTAGCTAGCTCATCGTTTGCAGACTTACACGATTCCCGAAAATCTTAAGCTTTGACCCACATTTTTTCAGACATTTCCAAGCAGTGGTCTGAATTGTTGTCACGCTGGATTTGAGGATCCTGCATACGGAAATGAATATACGTGGTGTGTTCACTCCGTAGATTTGCGCGAGGCCCAGCGGTGTGCGCAAGAAGGTTGGAGATTAGTAAAGAGGCTTTGGTTCGCATCCATGTGCAGGCAAACTGGAGCACGGCAGGTGGCCTGCAAACCTGTACCAAATCTGGCAAACTACTCTCTCAATCACACCTCCAATGCTGGTAGCGCAGCCAGGCCTTCCCAAGCACGACCCCAGCGCCAGGAGCGAAGAATCAGAGAACGGTTTGGAGTTAGTAGAGCGATTGACTGCAAAGGGTGTAGAGGGCAATGGAGAAAGCTGCCCACATTTCTGCATCCCAAATCCAACCCTAATCTGACCATCATCGAAGCCACCTATCCGAAATCATCCAACAAGCTACCCCACGCCGAGACCCCAACCCAACCAGCAAGCTACCTACCGAATGCCAACCCTACACCAGCAATAAATCACTCCAACACTGCCCAATATGAAACCTGAACTTGCCCAACTCTCAATCCAACCAAATGCAACCCTGAAAATGGTTAGCCTTCACAATCCACCTTAATCGGGCCAAAAGCCAATCCTAAACTCCGATCAAGTCAACCCCAACGCCCCCCATAAACCCTCCCGAACATACTCATTCGTGATCAATGCCAGCCCAGCCCGAAGCCACTAAGCCACCCCGAAAGCCCCCAGATCTTGCGTGAACCGCCCAACATCAGACTTGAGCTTCCCTAATCCAACCCAACACCTTGCGAGCATAAACACTCCGTGGCCATTCCATGCCCAATCTTAAAGCTGCCCAAAAGCAGTACTATTTCACCATGCTATTGTGTGGGCACAAGAGGCTGGCCGGTTGTACAGCCGAAGTTAGAAGATAGGTGTCGTCATGTTTCGACAGGTGGTTGGCGTGAAGTACCTGCGCCTTTTTCCACCCAGCGAGTCTGAGAATCTGTACCCTCGTGAGGGTGTTACTTGGCTGAGTCTCTTTGTCTTCAGGAATCTGCAGTATACGAGAAATGGAATGTGGTCACTTGTTTGGAATTTGCCAGCGCCAGCCACTACACACCTTGGAAGCCATAACTGGCAATGTCATTTCTATCTGGTCCATTGTGGCAGAGACTTGGGAATAGCCGCAACTGCATTCGAGTATGGCAACAACTGTCCAGGTGTGTGACAAGGTCGACACGGTGCTGACCATACAGGATGCTTACAGAAGGAATCGCGAACAAGAGGCATCCCTCGCATCGTGCTAGGTGTTCAGGCTTTGCCAGCAGCTGGAGTGAGTACCGGTGTTCGTCCTAGAAAGGCACATTCTCAGGGCAACAGATCATGTTGTGCGAGGAGTGCTTGCTGTTTCATTGCCTTAACTAAAAAAAATGAAAGGCCTGGATGTATGCGAGGACGTTTTGTTTGTGGCAACATCGCACCCGTGCAACCATGAGTAGCAAGGCCACATCACGTGACAACTGATGATGATGATGATGATGATGATGATGATGATGATGATGATGATGATGATGATTGTCATCTTGAAACGGGACCAAGGTCGACCTTGTGAGCCTGTTCAACTGCCTTGAGTTGAGTTGGCTCGGCCCTGCCAAGGACCTGAGCAACAACTCCCGGCTAGAACCTGCAGACCTGTGGCTCGTCTTTGAGGCACAAGGAGGTGCACTTGGGTATTGACAGTATTGATGTCATGCGCACAGAACGTCGTTCTCTTCGGCAGGCCTCTGGGGCTTAAGTCTGTCTAGAAGGAGAGAGTTGCTTTGACGCCTTCGCGGCCTTCGCGTTTATCTATCGAAGATTGTTGAAAGAATCGCATGCCCTTTTCGTACCCTTTCGTCTCTTCGGAAGAACAACGAGCTCGTCTTGGCGCAAAGGTCCAAACCAATGAGGCAAATCCAATCGGTAAGGGCTTTGACACACAGACATTAATCAAGAGTTGTAACCCATCAGCTGTACCTGCGCGCTAGCTTTCATCACCAGAGCTTGTGCACGCATCTAGTTAAAGCTGTTTGGAGGGAGTTGTACACACGGGGTCGTGAGAAATGCGGGGCCGCTGGGTTCCACAACTTCAAGCAATTGACTCACCCTTGCCAAAAGACCACTGTATCCCACACTTATTAGCTGTTGAAAGATTCGCATGTTGATTGTTTGCTCACTCCAATCTATGCCCTTGGCATTCCGCCACTCGCCACCCCTGGCTTCAGTGCGCGCAGCTCAGTCCGGGTTCTTGCAACTTTCAAAAGTAGTGCGCAGACTAGTCCCTGCCCCACGGCAAGAGAGGCGGCAGCCCACATTGGCTGTCGGCCATTGGTTGACCACGTCGACGCTCAGGCTGGCAGGCGAGTCCGCTGAGGGCGCATACGGGGACTTCCCAAAGCTGCAGAAAGCAGAGTTTCAGGAAGCAGCACCTTTGACCGCAAAAGGGCTTCAGATTTCGATCGCGTCCAGTGTCGCATGCCCGGACGCTTGGAAGGGTGTTGTTCCTGAATCCATCCCGATATTCTTCTACAATAGGCGTAAGAACAACTCAACTTGCAGGCGCTGTTTACTAAATGAGCTCCTCTCAGGCCCTGCCGTTCCAGTCCTGTCGCGAGAACCGATCCAAATACAAGGTTCCCACGTACTTCCGAAGTCTCTGTGCTTCTTCGGCAATTTCAACAGTCAGCCCCATGGAACATGGCTTGGGCAAACACTGGTTGAGATTGAAAAAGCAACGCCCCGTCGGGCGCATTTCCCTTAAGTTTCAAGTTTATGCCAAACCGCTAAGTGCCAGCAACAAGACAATAAAGGGATGGCAGGTAGTTCAAAAAAAAAAACGTTTTACTACACGTCAAGGGAAAAGACTACGGAAGACTACCCGAAGACTACTGAAAGACTACAAGTGGACAAGACTGGGAACACTGCGGAAAGAGTATGTAAAGACTAACTAGTAACTACTGTATGAGAATACTATGCAGAGACTGCCAGCTGAAAGCACTGAACACCGAAAAGGGGGAGAGAAAAAACAGATGGTAATCATAAAGTTGTAATACCTGGCCACTTTTTTTTCTTCACCTAGTTAGGTCCTGTGCGATGCACAAATGGCCTGTGCTTTTTGAGCAGCATGGCCTGAAACTTTGCGTCAGCTGCCTCGTGCCACGGTGCCAAGGTCTTGCAGCCCGGGGACTTGTTGTACCTTCCCATGGGGTGGTGGCACTACGTCAAAAGCTTCTCCACCTCGATCTCCATAGCGTTCCATTTCACCTAGGCAACTGCTGTGAAGGCTGCGCAGGTGGCAAGAAAAAGGCCTAAATTGCGGTGCCAGTACAGTCCCTCTGCTGACATAGTTGTGGCAAAGAGCGCATGCAGCAGGCACGTTTGCTGTGCCACTGAGTCCCTGGGACGACAGCGTGCCCTTGCCCGGCATTGTGGCAGCTAGCTTAGCATGACTTTGGAATGCGTGTGGCCAACAGGCCAACAATGGCAAACAGTCCAGCAGCGTAGCTGGGTGGACGTAGACACCTTCGCCTTCCGTCCCGATCATCAGCAGCCTACGTATGTTGCCAATTATGTCTTGCGCCAATGTAGATGGTCCAAATGAGCAGCTAACGTTTGGTTTGCTTTCAGTGAAGGGGCTTGTTTAAGCATGGAGCTTGCACAGACACTCAGGGACTCGCACTTTCTCATGGTAGCCTTCTCATGTTTGATGCAACAGGCGATCAGCTTGTGTAGCGTGCAGCCAGCAGGCTTGGAATTCCAAGAGTTTGACGGATTTGTTGCAAGAGTGGGTCTCTGCGATGCATTTGTGGCCTGACATGTTTATCCCCTTCGAGGGGCTGGGCATAGCACCATCATTGCCGAAAATGGGGGTAGGGTTCTCCGATTTTTGAGTTTTCAAGGCAGACCATGCGCACGTGGCAAGTCAAGCTGTCGGGAAAGTTTGGTTTGTGAAGCCTGTCCAGAACTCATCAGAAGGGTGCTTTCATGTTGCATGTACCCAGGCGCAATCCAGCTCCGCGGAGATGTATCGATGGCACAGACAATTTGCAGAAGAGGAGGCAGCATGGTGAGCTTTGAAATGCAAGCGGTTTGAAGCACAACTGCCCAGAATAGTTTTGACCTGGACGACTAAACACACAAATGTGTCTTTTGTTCGAAGATTTGCCACTGTTTGAGCCAATGTTGCAAGCACAAAGTACGAATTGCTCATGCGTAGACACATCATCCCCCACATGCATTGACATTGCGAGCTGAGCATGTGCCCATCAATCGTCCACGCAAGACACCGAATGATTGAAGGCAACAATATACCCAAAGGGTAGATTGGCTTAGAGTGAATCAACTGGCAAAAGCATTGCCTCATGCCTCGGGTTTTGGAGTTCGATTGCTACTTGTGGGTGAGGAAATGTTTGGAGTATAAGAAGACTACCCATTTTGCATGCTTTGCATTGGATTCAAGAGGCTAGCAGTACCCTTATGTTGCTACCGAAATTGCCAGGAGCCGGTGAATCAGCCAGATTGCTTTTGCAAGTCGAGGTGCGTGTGCATCAATTTTGAATATCAAGTGATACTGCAGGAGGCAAACAATCCCGCGACGGCGGAGCCAGACCAAGAGGAGGAGGAGATCAGGCGATGCTAGTTTGAGCTCTGACAATTTCATTTTTCCCGAGAGTCCGATTCACTGTGCACCGTAAAGAGGAGAGGTTGCTCGCATGCTGTTTGTAAGCCCTTCTGATGCCACCTTCAGTGTAGTTTCTTTTTTCGGGCCTCGGGGACACTGAGGTGTGTTGGAGGCAAGCAGGCTTGCGCGTACAAATCTATTGCGCTTACATCTGAACGGCAGCGATTGTCAGCCTCGCAAAAATGATCTGCATATATTTGTTTATTACGCATTTTTTGCTGATGCTGAGAACACATGTCTTGGCAAGTGATGCGCCCCAAGAAGATTTGCAGCATAATTGGCATTGCACGCGGCTTCTCTAGTGTTGCTTAGTGAGCGACTGCTTTGACGCTGCCAGGCCACTTTTAGACCTGCGGGAGCCAGCGGAGGACTTGCACGTGCTTGATGTATACGGTGTTTGTGCTTTGTGTTTTGTTAAGCACACTGTTCCACAGTGCCAACCAGTTAATTTGCCCAGACTCAAGAAGTTTCTTGAATGTGTCCAAAACCACACTGTGGGAGCATGTTGGCAACGCTCCTGAGGAGAATTGTCCGCTCTTCGTGTGTGTGGAGCCGCACACCCTTCCAGAAGGCTCGCCCCATGGTGGACTTGAGAATTCGACCACCTCAATTTTGATAGGCATTGACAGTGTATGTTCGCCATTAATTCTTGTGAGTTGCAGCACACTACAGATGCAGTACCTCAATGAGGCAAAGGCGAAGATGAGGGGCGCGAGTTTCTTCTACCTTTGCAGAAGGGCGACGTGGTCCGAGTGGCCAGGGGCACAGTTGTTCCAGGCAGCTACCTCAGCATGGGAAGGCCGCACAAGGCTGGTATCTTAGATGTTGCAACCAGGAGCCAATATTGTAGTTATTTGACGCAGTCCATTGTAAGCGCTTACGCACATCAGCTTTGTGGCCGGCTTTCACCGGCCTTCAGCAGACTCGGACTCGGAGACGGCATCTAACATCCACCACACAAGCACAAGCATTCGCGCACGCACACACACGGACAGACACTGCTCGTATCTCTCTCTATCTCCTCTATTTCCCTCGCACAGGGGATTTCACATTTGGTGTATGTTTGGGATTAATATTCACATGCTTAGCATTGTGTTATTTTGAGTTGCTGAATCCTGTCAAGAGGGATTGGTTGCTTTGGGTGTCTCATCGCATCAGCATTTGTGCATTGCCCAGGTCAGCCGAGTGGAGCAAACTCAGCCACCCAGCAGCAACATCGGCAGTAATATGTGTGACTGTTTGTGAGCGTTTGGTCAAAGAGAAGTGCAGCAGGACGCAGTGGTCACGCATAGCAAGTATCATGCTTCTATATTCTATATGGTAAGTTTTCTATCAATGATAGTCGTGTTCTTGACTATGGCTGGCTGATGGCACTTTGACAGTCCGAAGAACTCCCTGTAGCTCGCTTGTTTTGTGTAGCTTGATGGAGAGGGATGTTTGCAGCAAATGAGTCGGACCCTCAGTGTGATGCAGACATCAGACATTTACGGCTTTGTCCAGCTCTCCTATTGTGGTTTGTGCGCAAAACTGCGTGTAGATTCCGATTTTATCACCTCTTCTACTCAGTCGGTTTACTGTTGAAAGGCTTGAACAGCAAGCTGGCAGGTTGGTGGCTGATGATGACAGCTTTTTTCTGCCTGCTGACGCGCATGCCCGTCCGAAAATGCCAATGATGGCATGTGCTACAGTCAGCAGTTGAGCGATGCTCGCACATTTGTTTGCTTGACACTTTGCCTGTGTGCATTGATCATTTTGCTTGCGGAGTTGCTCGCTCGCTCGCTCGCTCGCTCGCTTGCTGTCTTGCTTGCTTGCCCACTTGGTCAGTTGGCCAAATGATGCCTTGGTGGGCGGTTTGCTGCGCGCGTTGGCTGGTCAGGTGCAGGCTGTGATTGCCCGCTGGCGAGTTGACTCACGGGCTGCCGAAGGGTCCAATTGCCTTAGGAAGTGGCTTTGTGGCTACTTGGACTCCAAAGAGGACAAGAAGACCAAGGGCTGGTTCCCGAGGAGGCTGAGCAAGTCTGTATTGATCGATACCTCGGCTGATGAAACCAGAGGTGGGCATGTGTATCTTGTGGCACAAAGTTGATTCCTTTGCGCCTTCGCATGGTGCATTGCGTTGTGTTGCAAGTGGGTCCACGTGAGTCAAACGAATGAGCACCCCTATTTCTTGTCCTGGCATTTTTGGACCTGCCCAGGCCAGCAAGGCACACAAATGGCGACGCGAGAGAAATTGATTGAGATGACATGTGGCGACTGTCTCGGATGGGGAGAAATTGAGAAAGATGATCCTCTTGAAAGCTGTTGGAAGGGCTAGTTGCAGCACATTCCACTTCATTTTCGAGGCGCTTTGTATTTGAGTGGGCCATAAACCGCTTGGGCAAACAACAGTTGACGAGTTCATCAGTTCATCCTTCTCCGCGAGCGCTGAACGATTTTGTCCTGCCAGTCATGTGCAGAAGTTGGAATCGATGCAAGGAGGCCGGGCAGAGCGCGAGCTAATCTATATATTCTACATATCAAATTGGTTGTAAGATAGTTTAAAGATACAATATGGCACCCACCTGTTGAATTGGTTTGATGGTTCTCAGGAAAAGTGATTGCGGACAAGCCAAGAATTCCTCAGAGCAATCGATTGCCGCCAATCGTGCCGCTGCATTTGTGTGTTGTGTTATTTCAGTTTGTGTGCGTGCTGGTGGGTGCGTGTCTGTATTATTTGCGTGTGGGTCCTATCTCGTCTTGTCATTCAGGAAAAGATGCTCGAAGACAGAAGTAAATGGCAATGCGTCGTGGGTTGCGCAAAATTGCAGTAACCATATAGACATTCGCGTAGTAATTGCCAGTCATGTACATTCAAGACCTGTGTGCCTGCCTCTTACATTCACCTCGAGTTATCTCCCAGAGGCATGGTCAAAGACTGGTTGGCTTGGTTTGTTGTGGTATGTTGTTCTCATGAACTGAAACGGAATCTTGATTGGGGATCCCTTGCACAGGAAATTGGTTGACCATCCCCGCAGTCAAGCTTTGCCTATGAATGTGAGGAGTTTGTCCAGCGTTTGGATATCTCATTGAATGGACTTTCAATGCACACATTGCGTAAAAACATGTAAAAAAACATAGGCGACCACGTTGCAATAGCTGTTTTGTTCATTCCTGGCTGGATGAAGGGAATGCATGGGACGGAGTTTTGTTGAGGGCCACGCAAATGACTTAGTCTGTAAGCTGATTCGCTGTGCGCTCCTGTTGAGCTTTATCCTCCGCCTTGGTTGTGCCTGAGTTGCGCAAACAGTTCGGAATGTCCACAGCTTTGCAGCGGTCAGCCAGAGTCTGAAGCAGTTTCACCGACGTGCATGCAAGTGCGGTCATAGGGAAGAGTTTTGTTTTTGAGTCAAGGGATGCTGTGATGTCGAAAAAATTGGCAGATTGCTGCCAGGCAGCTTGTTGCAACAGCTGAAGCGCGGCCAGCCGCCGCCACTGCCAGCAGCCTTTTGGATGAGTTCATGTGGCTGTGGGTCAAAAATAGGTACCTTAAAGGGAACCCTGGTAAGTGGAAACATGGACCAAAACTTGCGGTTCCCTGGTGGTTTAATTTTGACCCATACCCATGTCATGTCTCGCTTGTTGAGGTTGGAAGCCCAAATAATTTGGCAATTTGCGTCCGACAAAGGCACTATGCCAAATTGCAGTCCCATCAAGTTTCTGTGTATGTCACCTGCTCACCAATGGGTAGAACTCGTTTGTAAAATGGGTAGACCTTGCTTGTAAATATGAGCGTGCGACAAATTGATCGCTTGTCACAGTCAGTAAGGGAGCAATCACATCTGTCGAACCGTGACGTTTGTCAAAAGCGAATGGTCCAGCCCCAAAGCGAGACCCCCGCAAAGGATGACAGGCCAAACAGCAATTTAGTCCATCGCTCAGAATATAGACTTTAGAAAGTAATGTTAGACCTCCTTTATTAATAGTCCCCTCTATTGTGGAAAGTGTTTTTCTAATTCAGGATCCTGTGACTGTTTTAGGGGTCCTCCATTATGGAAAGTTTTTTGGACGGAAAATGCCGGAAACAACGCTGGAAACAATATGGGCAACAAAACTTGGCAAACAAGTCGTGCAAAAAGAAGGCAAACAAATCCTGGCAAACATTGGGAAATCCTTCTCTTGAAGTGCTCCCCAAACCATCAAATTTAAGATAACTTCTTTGCAAAAAAGTGCGGGCAAACAGTCACACAAAGGGGGGTGGGTGCCCAGAAGAGGCCCAAATCCTCTTTAATGAAACTGTGTTGGGGTCCTCTTTAGCGTCCAGCTGGTTTCGGGGTTGCTGAAAATTGAAAACCAAAGCCTCAGCCTTTTACTTTCAAACGAGGGGGCTCATCCTAGGAAATCAATTTTGCAAGTTGTTCCCAAACCATCAAAATTAAGATACTCCTTTACACAAGAGTGAGGGCAATCAGTCACCCCACAAGAGCACCTGATCCTCTTTAGTCCGACTGTTTTGGGGTCCTTTTTAGTGTCCAACTGGTTTCGGGGGTTGCTGAAAAAACGGTCCTTGGCAATACTAAAGTAGAATTGGCAATACTAAAGTAAGTACTGGGCATCTGAGAGCCAGCCATGCAATATTAAAGTAGAATTGGCAATACTAAAGTAGAATTGGCAATACTGGAAATCTGAGAGGGGACCATGGCAATACTAAAGTAGAATTGGCAATACTAAAGTATGTACTGGGAATCTGAGAGGGGGACCTTGGCAATACTAAAGTAGAATTGGCAATACTAAAGTATGCACTGTCCCTTCCAGACCCCCAAAAGAGGGTCCAGCTGACTGACCGGTTCCACTGTTCAGGAGGGGGGGGGGCGTGTAAAGAGGGTCCAACATTAGTTTTCTTCTACTTGCATGTGCGCCTGAATCCTTTGTACCTGCAGAAGTCGGGAAAGGCAGAAATCGGGAAAGGCTTGCTTGGGAGCATTATCGGAGCTTGTCACCGCTGCAAACCTTTGATGCAACTAAGGTCCCGTCATTCGTGAGCCGCAGATAGTGCGTGCGCGGAACACATTGGCTGGAAAAGACCGTACCCAAGCCAAATGTGTGGGCACTAAATTACGTATGTACATGGTCACAGTGCTATTTTCGGAGGCAGGCATGCTAGAAGTGTTGAATCCTTAAGAGTATTCTTGCGCTGGAAGTGGTGCCTACGAGCATTGCATTCGTAATGGCCTTGAAAGACTTTGTTTGAGAACTGGCTGCGCATGGCTTGATTGTGTTGCACTGTTGAGGAGCTTGATCATTGAGACCTTGACAGTTCGAAGCATGCATGTCCTCTAGGCTTCAGCCTGAAGTATCAACCTAAGCATCAGCACTGAAATAAGAATCCCCTGAGAACTGGCCAGTCTTCCTTCCCTTTTGAAACGTCCCACCGTTGGTCGTATCATGTCAGCTTGAGATTGCAGATTGGTCACCTCGGCTTTGCAACGTATCTGCTTCCCTGCTTGCACATGCCATGGCACTAATGGAGGCCGAATCGCCGGCAAAACTGGGCTTGGGCGGGGCGTTTGCATGCCGTTCGCTGACGTACAGCTATGTTGGGAGGCATTTGCAGCTGAAAGCCCACACCGCATGGGGCAGTCGCACCCAAGTTCGTGGTTCCTGACTTCTGCGCAATGATTTTGATATTCACTATTTGATGGTCATGGTCTTGTTCAACCATGCACCTTACCAGGATAACATACGCGGTCCTCCTAGGTGCTTCATGCGTGCATTCTGACAGGCAAGCATTATTTTGCTTCAGCCTGTGCGCCACATGATTGCCACATGCCCCAACGACCACCCCGGCCCAAGCAACAAATTAAGTTGCGCCGTTGGAGTGGCTGAACTGTTGCGCCTCATACAATATTAGGATCCGCTGTTTCCCCTTAAGGATAATTTTGGAATGATTGAGGCGCCTTTCTGTCGTAGGACTTGAACATCACATTACACATTGTTTTGATAACTTCACCCAACACTCGAACGGGCTATGTGGAATCATGATTCTGCTGCTGGCTTGAGCGAGAGCACATGTTTGAATATTCATTCGATGGACCAGGAATTGTTAGCAAGTCAGCACCACGATTGATTTTGGCATTGCTATCACCATAATGAATGTACTTTACGGCCAGCAAGACCTTTTCCAAGAAAGCTGACTTGTTATATGTTGTTTGCTCAGGCACGAGTGTGCCATTTTAGCACCCCAGCCACGTGTGCTTGACAAATATAGTCATTATGTGTTTCAACGGGAGCGCCGCTTCTTGGCAACAGCTTGATGCTGCGCATCCAGGCTGCTCTACCATGCAGCGTCAGGAGCAGCCTATGGGATTGTAGGGGTTGGGAAGGTTGGAAAGCGAGCGCGGTAGTGACCATCATAAATGTTCCGAGATTCGAGTTCCTCTTGTTTTGCTTTGGATGTTACAGCATGTTACAGCCAGGCTTGCGCGTGGAAAACAATGTGACGAATTTGGGGGGCATCACCTCCGATTTCGGATTGTTGGGTGCTACTGACGCCGATCCTGCACCAAAGCGCAAATGCAAAACGGCTAACACTTGCTTTTTTCACTTGATCAATAGCGACAGGAACGGAGCTCATGACATAGTCGACCCCTAGAGCTGCCGGCAATCAGTTCCGAACGGGATAGCCGTTCTTGGAGTGCAGTTGCCCAGACCGGGCAGAATGGCAGAATGGTGCAACCACTTTGAGAAGGCACACCAGATTGTACTGACTAGAGATGCATCTCCCAGCATCAATCTGCTTTGGTGGCAGGGCGGGGAATCTTATTTGCGATGATGCTTTGGTGAGTCGTTGCCGAGAGTTGTTGTGCACCACCATTAACAGAGCACAATACCAAGAAGAAGAAGAAGAAGAAGAAGAAGAAGAAGAAGAAGAAGAATAGTGTTTTCAGGTAAGGGAATGGTTGTTCCTCGGCAACAGCCAGGCTTGTTGAGCTCTTAGGGATATGCTGCTGACTTCTGCGGGGTTTTGGCACATGTAAGGGTTTTGATCAAAGGAAGGAGAAGATGTTTGTCAGAAGAATGAGGACGCCACAATTGAATTGAACCCTGACGCGCTTGACTCAAGAGGCATCCGGTCTGCCTGTGTTGCAAGAATAGGAAGGTTCCCGGGGAAGTGCGCTTGGCAGGAGCCTCGGCCGCGCGGAAGCGCGGCCTTACCAGGTGGGCAAATTCGAAATACGCTTGTGTGCTCCTGCCGTTTTACTTCAGCCGGGTAAGTGGCCATTGTTATTGGCAGCAAGGCCCGCTTGCATTGGAGCTTTGTTTGCGCTCCAGACTTGGCGCGAGTGCCGGGTTGGTCAGCAAGAAGGCCCGGCCAAAAGCCACATGCATGGTGGAAGGATTGGAATGTAGAAGTCTAGGAGTGGTTCGCAATGGCATCATCAATATCGTTTGACCGCCAATCATACCAGCCACTGGAGAAGCCATTGATGAATCACAGCGCAAGGAATAATTTTGAACATCTATTCTGAGAAAGGAACGGTGGGGTTATTTATGCAGTCTCTAGCGGGTTCCAGAGAGTCCTAGGGGGTCCTTTGGCTATTCATGACTGAGACTAAGTATGCGGTGTGACCCCATTCCCGAATAGCAGAGCCTTCGTGACTTCAGCTGCCAGGCTGGCATCTTCGCGCATGAGCCTGCTCAAACCCGGCAGTGGCCTCGCTTATGTCCTCGGTTTCCGTGCGCTCCTTTGAGCTCTTGGTGAATTTCGATGCTTCGAGAAAACTAGTCTGCCAGCCTTGATTTGTGTTGATCCATCTGACTGTCCATTTCAGAGTGCTCAATCCTCCCCCTGGTGGCCAGTTTATTTGCGGGGTTTAGACAGGGGCAGGACGGCCAATGTGAATATGTATTTGTTTGTGTTGGTCAAATAGATGCCTGATGGGTCTCGAATTCTGCTCATTGACATTTCAACGAGTCTGAACCTTTTCATGCTCGACTCTGCAGACAACAAATGCAAAGCAGAAGAAGTTCACGTTAGCAGCATTGGCCCTTTATTTGGCCAAGAACCCACAAAACCGATCCCTTGGATCCGGTGTTAGCCCATGCCTCCGAATGTAGTTCCTCCTGTCGCTACTCAGGCCACTGGCTGCAAGGCCGGTTCTGCTTGCACGCAATGCGTGGCACAGCCATCAGTGAGGAATTGGCAATATGACCCTGGTGCATCTGGTGCATGCCAGTATGGGAACCAGCAGCACAATGAAGTAATGGAAGATCGAGGTGAAATGATGGCACAAGCTCGCATGAAATGTAGCCATATCAGTACGGTAGTGGGGCAGGCCGCAGATAACCTTGACCTAGGTTGGATGTTCGCCTCAACTCAATGCACTTGCCTTGCAGCTCCCAACACTTTGCTCACACCCGGGCTGTTGGTAGGCCGGAGCGTTGCTTCGCCGCTTTTGCAGGCGAGGTTGAGAGCTTCTGGGAAGAGAGTTGACCGTGTTTTGTTGTGTTTCCTTTGTTGGACGTGGGGTTCGTGACTCTTTCAGGCGGGCTTGTTGAGTCGTGGTCGGCCAATACTTGAAAGACGTTAGCTCTTGATAGCTTTCGTACTAGCTTCGTCGACTCAGTGAAGCACATATTTGATGTCAGGTTGTGTTATCCTTTGTCCAGCAGCTGTGGCTGAGTAACCATACTCTCCAGGCTGCATGCCATGTTTGAAGTAAGCCCGCCCGCAGCATGCAAAAACACTGCCTTGTTTTTGCAGATACTACGACTGTTTATGAGTATGACAACGCCTGACAGTGGGCCTTGGCAGTAGTTCAGTCAGCTTCAACCGCTCAGGTTCCTTGGCAAGCCAAAAGCAATCGGCATGTGTTTGTGATCGCCCAGAATCTCAACCAGGTTGCACTGGGGCCAAATGCACAAGGCTGTCACTTGCTCATGACTGCGTGTTTTTTCAAGGAGGCCTGGCGGCGATGCGCAACAGCTGGCATATGAATCCGTGTGTGATTGCGAGAGATGTTCGTCTTGGCCAGCATCCTGCATCATGTTCTGCCTCAGTTACTCCACAATAAAAGCGATGCCGAGCCTGAGGCATTTGGGAGGCCCAGAACCAAACAAAGAGCGACAGCTTCATTTTGCTGCCCTGCTGACAATCTTTGCCAGCCTGCCAGTTGCTGCTTCCAGCTGGGCGCAAAGGCGACCCAAGGTGTGACAGCAAGGAGTTGGTCGTTGCCCCGATGACTCTTGCATGGAATCATGCTTGAGATTTTTGCTGGCAAATCAAGTTGACTCCGTCTCATCATAAGATCCCGAGAGAAGGGCAACAGAAGAGGGACTTTCGAGTTTAGAGCTACGCACTGGTTGCAGTATTTATGATTGGTTCCCGGACGGTGCGTGCGTTGTCAGACTATCCATGCCTCTTTGTCATGATGATTCGCGGAACAAGCACTGTCCAAAGTGTGCGTGTCATCATGCGTGTGTGCGTGTCATCATGTGTGTGTGTGTGCGCAGACCGGGCGGAGACCGCCATGACCGTTGATCCACAGTGAGTCAATGTAAGCATTGTCGGATCAAATGCGAATAAGATTGTGTCAGCAGCAGGTTGGCTGATATGTTCAGCGCTCGGGCAATTGACTCCCATCACATCATCAGGAGTGATTGATGTTTGTGGCACTACATTAGCATTTGAGCTAAAGGTTGGCACAAGGGATATTCATGATTCTCATTGTGCATTTGATGGCTTTTGCAGGCGCGAGCAGGTCTTGAAACGAATCCTGTTTCACGAAAAGTTGATTTTGTGAACATCGGCTCATTTTGAACTACGATAGATGAGAAGCCGTAAGGCTATGGGAAGACTTCGGCGGGAATACTCGAGGAAGACTACCGGAAGACTACGGTAAGATCATGGGAAGACTACGGGAAGAGACTCGAGATTACATGCCCAAAAGCCTCCCAAACGAAGGCGAGCCTTTAGAACGAAAGCTTTAGAGATATTCCAGTTTGGCACAAGGGTTTTGGTGGCCGCTCATTTGGCAGTAGGCATCAATTCGTATAATCTAAGCCCTTGTTGGATCGCAAGTGCTTGTTGTTTCCCTTTTGGAAGGCTCAATTCCATAGACCTCGATCTCGACTAGCTACGCAAGCGTGGGGGAGGGCCATCACAGGTGCGCCGGCAGGCCGAGGATGAAGAGGCACAGTTGAAACGAACATGGCAAAAGACGAGGGTCTGCTGCTGATATGGTTGACGGGCATGTAATTTAACGCAACATACAGTAGTTAAACAAATCTATTTTTTGAATTGGAGTACATGTATATATATATATCCATTATATATATGTATATATATATATATTAGAAATCTGTGTTGATAGGGTGCATTATGAATCAGGGAAAGAAATATGTTCAGGAGACATCCCTACACCAGGTGTTTGTGAAGTTGTGTGAATTGCCTTCTCAAGGACTGTTTGAGCAAAGCTCGATCAGCTTCAATGGCCTTTCTGACATCCTCTCTGCCGTTAGGCCATCCTACAAATTGAAGCAGCGAACTGTCAAGGTAAACTGGATACAGGTTCTGGGGAGTTGCCGTTGATTCCCTTTTGGGCACTTTACGTGGTCAAAGCACATGTTACAGCTCAAAATTGCAGGCAACAATTGCCTTGTGCAGTGATTTGTGTGCTGATTAACCTTCCCCGCCCTCAGTTTGTTTGTGTGACAATGCCAACAGGTCCCATAGCCAAAAAACCTGGATGTCGAGACTTCGACAATGGGGAGACTCATCAATCCTTTGACAAGGACGAGAGCGATGCTGCAAAAAATACTCATGTGGAGCACCATCTTCCCCTATTTGGCAGAGTTTTGACTGTGGAACCCGCAGTGGTTTTGAAATCGGGCAGCCATTCAACGGCTTGTTGCCTCTGCAACGCGTGACAAAAACTTGGGCCTCGGGGCCATCCACCGCTCAACATTTCAGGCGGCCGCGCAGTTGGCGGCGCTAGAGGCAGAGTTGGAGGCCGAAGCGGCTGAGCGCAACCCTCGGCCGATGCTTTTACAGCTTTGCCCTATGTCATCATTGCATCATGTTCCGTTTGCGGCAAGGCAACCTTGCCCTTATTTTAAAAGTCGACTCTGAAGAGAACAGCAATGCATGCATATCCATGCGTTGCGAAACTGTGCCGCAACAACTAGGACAACTAAGAAGGCATTGCTGGAATAGGTTGCTTGAAGGAGTAGCTGGTCATTTGTAGATGTGCAGCGTGGCCTGCCCAGTTGGTCAATGCACAACAATGATTAAGGGCCTGCGTTTTTGGTTGGCCGACGGCTAGCTTTGTAGTTGTTTTGCTTGAGAACAAAGGGTGCTTGTCAACGGCTTCAGTGCACATGTTTCTCGCAAACAATGCATTTGGACTGACTCATACAAAATGCGTCAAATACAGCGTGCAAGGTTTAATGCTGATCACCTTATGGAGGCAGTGAGGTTCAAGAGTCTTTGCAGGCGTTGCAAGGCTGATAGTGTAGTGAGCATGACAGAAACAACTGGAGGGTGCCGTAAGCAAAACAATGTTGCATGATTCTGGCGGGCAGGCTTACCCAGAGCAGAACAGCTTTTGTTCAGGGCAATTATTGAATTTCTTGACCAGTGGACCCGTGACATTCCGTGCTTTGTTGGCTCCGGGGAATGCTAAGTTGGCGTGCAAGGCCTTGGAGGATGTGGCTGAGGACGAGATAAAGAAGCCACTTGGCTTAGATTAGAGGGGATACGTTGCGACAGGTGATCAATCATTGATGAACATGATAATTTGTACTTGATCAATTTGTGTTGCTCGTTCTTTGTATGGCCTTATCAAGTGGATTCTACAAGAAGTAGTTGTTGTCAATCATTGACATATCGTTTGTACCATTATTGTTGTAATGATGGTAGTTTCTTTTTTAAGAGTCATGTTTGTAGGGTAATGCTTGTAGGGTGATGATTGACGGCGACGACGACGCTGGTGGTCGTTGTTAGCTGCTTTGGCTGCTATTGTTACGTTTGTGTGAATTGGCTTGCCTTGGCTTGGCATCAAAACACATCAATAATGGACACAACAGAAAGCCGCATTGAACAGAAGTAAACAGTCAATGCATAGAGTAGCATGTCAATGCCATACCCACTAAGCAACGCTAGATTCGCAAATCAGCAACAACTGCACATCACATCACCAACCAGGAAGAAGTGCAAGGCAAGCACATCAGGCAAGTTCATTAGCAGATGGCTGCTGAAGTGCTGTTGCTAGTCTTTTTTAGTTGTGTATGTAACTCGCATGTTTCACTGATCCTTTTGATGTTGAATGTAATTTGTTCTGCAGGCAGGGGATATAATGCAACAACGATTTCATTTCGGATTGGCATGCCTTGTCGTGTTTCCTGCGTCCAACATCCAGATGGGCTGTGCGATGGGTAGAAGCTGTTTCACACCGCTTGAGGAAAGCAGACGAAGATGAGGCTGCAACTTTGGAAAAGGCGCTCGGGGAGATTGACACAACAGCTGTAGTACATGCTTGTCCACTAGCTGGGAGCGGTAGCTCAAACTCATGTCCGCGCCATGTTGGGATGTTGACCAATTGTCGTTCAGCAGCCTTGATTCCACAGCCATTCCAATTTTAGGATCCATGGCCACCAATCACGGCCAACAACTGTAAAATAGTCGCTGATGCTGTCGTGTTGCCGAGTTTCCGGGAATGCCTTGCTGCGCGCAGATCAACAAGCGCTTCGAGACAGCGAGACCAGGTTTGAACTCCGAGGTGACTGCTGGCAGGCTAGGAGCGTTTGTGACACGATCAGGCCCCTCTGTTTGCTTGGGGTTGAGAGCTATGTATTGGGTCCCGAAAACATTGCAATGACCATATGAGCCACGGACAAAACACACGAAGACCACTTTATCAAGGCGGGGTACGTTTTTGCATAACACATGCCAAAACCATGGAAAACGATAAGGTCTCCCCCAAAAACGATAACCCTTAGCTAACACACGGCTCTATAATAACCCCTGCAGTTGCAACTTAGCTAGGGTGGGACCCTTGCGTGGCCACCGTACAACGAGAAGGCGAGTCGCCACTTTCGAGCTGGAGCTGCCAAGGTGTGCTTCGTAAATACGACGCTTGTACTGAGAAGTTGCGATTTTCGAGCTGGAGCTGCGGAAGTGTACTTCGCGCACTGGACTTGCACGACAAAGTTGCGATTTTCGAGCTGGAGATGCGGAAGTGTACTTCGCTTACTAGACTTGTACTACAAAGTTGCGATTTTCGAGCTGGAGCTGCGGAAGTGTACTTCGCGTACTAGACTTGTACTACAAAGTTTCGATTTTCGAGCGGGAGCTGCGGAAGTGTACTTCGCGCACACACTTGCACTACCAACTTGCGATTTTCCAGATGCGGAAGTGTACTTTGCGTACTAGGATTGCACTACAAAGTTGCGATTTTCGAGCTGGAGCTGCGGAAGTGTACTTCGCGTACTAGACTTGTACTACACAGTTGCGATTTTCGAGCTGGAGCTGCGGAAGCGTACTTCGCGTACTAGACTTGTACTACAAAGTTGCGATTTTCGAGCTGGAGCTGCGGAAGTGTACTTCGCGTACTAGACTTGTACTACAAAGTTGCGATTTTCGAGCTGGAGATGCGGAAGTGTACTTCGCGTACTAGACTTGTACTACAAAGTTGCGATTTTCGAGCTGGAGCTGCGGAAGTGTACTTCGCGTACTAGACTTGTACTACAAAGTTGCGATTTTCGAGCTGGAGCTGCGGAAGTGTACTTCGCGTACTAGACTTGTACTACAAAGTTGCGATTTTCGAGCTGGAGATGCGGAAGTGTACTTCGCGTACTAGACTTGTACTACAAAGTTGCGATTTTCGAGCTGGAGCTGCGGAAGTGTACTTCGCGTACTAGACTTGTGCTACAAAGTTGCGATTTTCGAGCTGGAGATGCGGAAGTGTACTTCGCGTACTAGACTTGTACTACAAAGTTGCGCTTTTCGAGCTGGAGATGTAGAAGTGCGCTTCGCGTACTAGACTTGTACTACAAAGTTGCGATTTTCGAGCTGGAGATGTAGAAGTGCGCTTTGCGTACTAGACTTGTACTACAAAGTTGCGATTTTCGAGCTGGAGCTGCGGAAGTGTACTTCGCGTACTAGACTTGTACTACAGTTACAAAGTTGCGATTTTCGAGCTGGAGCTGCGGAAGTGTACTTCGCGTACTAGACTTGTGCTACAAAGTTGCGATTGAAGTGTACTTCGCTCGCGTACTAGGCTTGTACTACAAAGTTGCAATTTTCGAGCTGGAGCTGCGGAAGTGTACTTCGCGTACTAGACTTGCGCTACAAAGTTTCGCTTTTCGAGCTGGAGCTGCAGAAGTGTACTTCGCGTACTAGACTTGTACTGCACAGTTGCGATTTTCGAGCTGGAGCGCTGTGGAAGTGTACTTCCCGTGCTAGACTTGTACGACAAAGTTGCGATTTTCGAGCTGGAGCTGCGGAAGTTTACTTCGCGTACTAGACTTGTACTACAAAGTTGCGACTTTCGAGCTGGAGCTGCGGAAGTGCACTTCGTGAACTAGACTTGTACTACAAAGATGCGATTTTCGATCTGGAGCTGCGGAAGTGTACTTTGCGTACTAGACTTGTACTACAAAGTTGCGATTTTCGTGCTGGAGATGCGGAAGCGTACTTCGCTTACTAGACTTGTGCTACAAAGTTGCGATTTTCGAGCTGGAGCTGCGGAAGTGTACTTCGTACTACAAAGTTGCGATTTTCGAGCTGGAGCTGCGGAAGTGTATTTCGCGTACTAGACTTGTACTAGAAAGTTGCGATTTTCGAGTTGGAGATGTGGAAGTGTACTTCTCGTACTATAGACTTGTACTACACAGTTGCGATTTCCGAGCTGGAGATGCGGAAGTGTACTTCGCGTACTAGAATTGCACTACAAAGTTGGGATTTTCGAGCCGGATCTGCCAAAGTTCGAAAACACTGTAAAACGATAAGGTCTCCCCCAAAAACGATAACGTTCAAAAAAGTACTAGGGCCAAGTAAAGTGTTTCGTCCGCTCTTCATATGCTGCACAGCTCGAAAAGGGATACTCATATACATAGTGTTGACCGCAGGACTTCCATTGTTGCAGTGGTTTTAGACACGTGTTTTATTTTTTGACCGGCTGGTAGTTCATTTCTGTCGCTCTAGGGCCTTTCATCAAATGCAGCTGAACATATTTGAATTTGAATGTCTACACGTGTTTTGCACTCCCGATGGCAAATGACCTATGGTTGTAGCTGGGTCAAGCCATTCTGCCGACTTCAACCTGGCAGCCATCAATGAATTGAAGTGTTAGGCAAAGGTCAGGGCTCGTTTTTGCGAGCCAACCAAATCATGACGAAGTTAGCTCCCGCGCCGGGGTTGATACGACTCTGTATAAGCACCACCTGCCTGCCTAGTCTTCCCATCCTTACCTGACTCTCACAGCAGATTGGGCTAGACACCTGGTTGATTGTGGCAGTCCCACATTGTTGCGGCAACATCCACAAACGCGATGTGAGCAACAGTGCAGACTCTCTGCCATGAAGGATATGTGTTGCGTGTGCCGTATTGCGGGAAGCGGGGCATGAGGGAAACAAGATCTTCCAATCCTTTGGTCAGCCAAAAGTTTTGCTTGATTTGTTGACAGCATGTGGTTTTGAAGCACTGCCAGGGGTGCAGAGTCCCTGGGTGTGGAGGGCCGAGTGGCGGTCTGCGGCTGCGGAGAGACGCTACAGCTGCTGGTGGAGCGGCTGAAGAAGGAGGCGCCTCGGCGATGGCGCTGGTGATGTTTGCCGCCGTGAACCAGGGCTGCGTTTATTGCTTTCCTTTTGGTGCCCCGTGCAATATCACATGCAGGGCGAAAAAGGATATATTTTTTTTCTCTCAAGACAGGGCGTGGCAATCTACGCCATCCCGTGCACATTGTGTTCTTCAAAAACACGTGCTCAGTTGAAGTGCCAGGAACACAGTTTTTTGGTTCACTCTTGAGGGAGCAAATGAGCAGATGGCGAGAAGAGGAGCCTCTTAGCAAACATGAGACCCGAAACCACCTGTCTATGAGGCTGTATCAGGATCCCGGTTTAGCTGGATTGCCGGCATGCAAATTCACGCTTCAGATATCTGAAAGGCCTCGCCTTCAACTGTTCATAGGTAGTGTCTTTATCACGTGCTCTCCATGTCCCCCATGATCTTGGAGGTGAAGCATGAACCAGCCGGTGGCGGAGGGGTGATCACAATATGTTGGTGTTCAAGGACTCTTGCCATAGAGCATAATATGTACAATTCCAGGGCGGCCCTGGCTCAGACAGGGGCCGCTGTGTTGCAAGCCAAGTGGTTGGACTGCCTCTGTTTTTTTGGCGGTGCTTCTAATTGCCAAATGAAGAGCATCATGTTTAATTACAATGATGACTGAGGAGAGCGAACAAGAAGAATAGACAGGCTAGCAAATGTCAGGCATGAAACATTGAATGACACCACGCCCTTCGGGACAATGTTGATGGGTGAAGCCTATCAGCACCAGCATACATTGAGATTTGCTTTGCATTGCGATTGATTGATCTTATCAAGGCCTTTTGAACTGCTGCACATACAGTTTGATTTTGAAATTGCATGAATTGCATCGCTTGACTGACTTGAACGGTCCTCGATTTGGGATCCCAAAAGCAGCTTTGATTGTCCAGAGCCTTGAGATCCCAAAAGGATCGAACCCCGACAAGGCAAAGCTTTGCTTCGCAGGAGTGAGAGACTCCGAAAAAGTCAAGTGTTCACGTTTATACTGGGAGAAGCAACTGCCACAGCCAGCAGCCACCGGAGGCATCCGAGAACCAGCAGCCGGTTGTTTTAGACTTGGAGGAGGTTTCCAGGCTGCGGGATGTCTGGGGATCCGGGAAGATGTGACACGTTGGGTTGGAAGCCAACATGAGTTCTCAATTCAGCGTTCGAGACGGTATCATCCCTGGACGGCATTCCACTGAGCTCTGCGGGTGCCTATTGCCGCAGTGTCATCGTTGAGAGCAAGGTGTCTTGACAGATTTGAAGCGCGATTGCTGACAACTTTCTGGCTCAAGCTCGCAGCCGCTGACTGCAGCAAGACCTGAAACCTTGTATTCTTTGCACACCTCAATGCTTGCTTGCTGGCCATCTCGCAAAAACCACTTGCTCAAGCAGCCAAGCTCGAGCAGTCCCCAATGCTAGATCAAGCTCACAACAAGTCTCAGACCCAGTGGCGTTGTCCATCCGAGCTTGGGATCCGATTCGACTCCAAGGCCCTTTGCCAGAGGCGGGACAAAAGGGGTTGCCGCAACTCTTTGCGAGGTGCGAGCCGGGGATGGCATGTTCGCCTTGAAACTGTGTAGGATTGTGGAAGGGCTGTTTCTGTTGTACAACAGGTTGACGGGGCTGGGAGTGAGTGAATGTGCTGCAACCATCATTGCTGTTGAGGCAAATAGAATCGTCTCGCTTCTTGCCACCGCTCTCCGCAGGTCTGCCTCTGCGCCAATGAGCTCAAAAAAGGAGGGGCGCTGGTGATCGTCCTCCAAGTAAAGACACGGTCCAGTGGGCGTCCTGCGCGCAACATACGTGCCGTTTAGCCTTGCGAGGCTGTGAGGTGAACGGAAACTAGGTAGCACCACAGCAAGCCACAGACCAATGCTGTGAACAGGTTCCGTTGAGTGTGGTCTTTAGAGGTCATGTTTACCAGAGGCAGCCTGCAAAAGCGGCTGACTCCAACAACACCATGTTTCCCGCTGCGGGCCCTCTGCGTGTTGGCGCCCGAGTGAAATCGGGCCCGAGCAAATTGTCAGTTGCCACGATGATAGGACATTACTTCCTTTACTGTGCCATGTGATCAAATGCAGCTACTCGTATTCGAAAGCTTTGCTTGCAGTGGCCAAGACTTTAATGCGCGTGCTTTTGCAAAGGCATTCTCAGTGCATAAGCTTGGTTTGCTCAGTAGTCATGCTTGCTTCTGAGCAATGTGCACAGCTAGGAGTTCATGGGGAATCTAAAATGGGGTTGCTCAACGATTGCAGTCATTACCAGGTGCGTCGTCAACCATTCTGCAGCGTGAATGTGCATCCATGGCTCACGTGCCAATTGTTGCAAGTTCCAAGGCTTCAAGTACGAGTACGCGAGTGTTGGATGTGCATTTATGCTAAGATACTATGATGTTCTCGGTTTGGTGTACCTGCTGCATCTCAAGAGGTCGCCCACGCAGAATGTAAGTAAGGGCATTCACACACCTTTGAAGGGCAACCTTTTAAAGCTCTCCGACATCTGAATCTGCTGACAGACTGCAACTTAGCATGCTTCTTCAGGGAAGAAGTGGAGTTGGCACTGCCCGTCGACAGAGGTGAACATGCTCCCACTTTTCGAGCATGGGGCTCCTGAACAGGCTTCGTAACCTCATGCCCTCAGTTCTTCTGAAAGCGACAGTGTCTAACGTGGTTTGGGTTGTTTTACCCTCACGAACTCACTGGAAGCTGTGGCACGCATTTGAAGATAATGACAGGTTCCATGACCATCTGCGAAGGGTAGATTCTAGCGTGTCCCTGTGCCAAAGAAATCAAGTTCCACAGTGACCCAAGAAAGATGCGCAGGAGTGGCTGGTGCCTAACATGGCGCTGGCAGAGGCTCGCTCAGCCGGGAGCCCCTACAGTTGGCTGCAGTGTGGCAGCTTCCCATTTTGCACTCCACTGACATCGCTTGCTTCGTCTCGCGGCACGGCACGGCACAGCTGCAGCATGCCTTGTGTGGCTGAGGCCTCATTGCCGACGCTTCCCTTTCACGGGTGCTTGCCTCAGATTCGACGTTCACATGGCGTGCCGCTGCTGGAGCTTTGACCTTACATCAATATACTCTGCATATCTCAATGTATATATTGTGCATACACATGTATATAAGATGTTATATATAAATATGTACTGATCATGTATTTGCATAGCTGCGATAGGGATGCCATCATTGTAGGTGGGTATTGTCACCAGGTTTGCTATACAGTAAATGCGTGACGATACGTGGATGTCTTGTTGTATTCACGACGTTTGATGAAAATCTGCTGTTGTGCTCAGATGTACTACGTAAAATGCCAACGCCCGCAAGACGTAGCAATAGACAACACATATAGTATATAGACGTGCACAGCCTAACATTTGCGTCATGGTACTGGTTGGACGTTGTCGCAAACGCCGCAATTGATGGCAACAACAGATGTGGAGGTTTGCCTCGATTTAGAATGGGCAGCCGGTTATTATATGATACTCAGATTTGATTCATCATATTCTCCCACCGATATGACAATGTTTGACAGTCTAGAAATGATTGCCCATCATTCACAGTTTGGCTTCTTTGCAGATGAGCTTAGCAAGCAAGTCGCGCTGGGCATCCCAGGCCGCTGCGGCCCGGCTTCACTAAACCGGAAGGTCCTCGCATGGACCTTCGGCCTGCGCGCTTCAACGGCTCTCTTCTGGCAACTGGGCAAGGAATCGGATGTAGACACAGCTCAAAGGAGACATCCCTCAAGATTGATATCTCCAAAAGGAAGCCGAGACAGAGTCATGTTGGTTACTGATATGTTGTGGGTTTGTTACACACTCATTGCTTCCGAGTGTCTGTGGCGCTCTGCATTGAACTTCTGTTGCGAGCATAAGCTGGGTTTGCAGCCAGTGATGGCACATTCCGTCTCAAGCCCTGGTGTGGGATTAGTCCGCCGGACTGCCCGTGAAGTATCGCAATCAAACCATAATTCATAAAGTGGTGCAGGCGGGGGCGTTTGCAATCCTCGACCACAGTGGATTGAAGTGTGAAGGGTATTTTGCACGCCCGTGAGCTTGCCTGAAGTGGTCGGCTGGGGTGAGGTGCTTGACCCGCTGGATGGATTCTAAAAACGTGTCTTAAGGACATTTATCCAGCAGGTTGGACCTTCGTGCCGGCTAACTGAAATGTTGATGTGGTTTAGTCTTGCAGTCTGAATGAGACACCCGTGTTAATCAGTGGGGAAATGAACAGTTGCTCGCATGAGCTTGCCTCAACGTAATATCCCACACTGGGCAACGGTCTTTCTGTGGCCTGTAGAGTACGGGGGGTACCCACTTACAGTCGCAAGCTGGATTGCCAATTTTGCTGCGTAGTGGCCACAGCGGCATGAATGGTATGCCTTGCGTGGCAAGTCACCAGTGTAAGAACCGCAGGCACATGTCACGTCACTTTCCGCCATGCTGGACAGCATAACATTAGAAAGGTCTGACTTTTTTCATTTGCTAGGCTTCAATCGTTATGTTAAGACCACACATGTGGTGCTTTGAGAAAGAAACCCTCACCACTATATGATGCTCTCATGTATGAGTCACTCCAACTCCACCAAGGCTCCGTCGCCTGGCATCAACGCCGCTGCCTCTTTCCACGAGGCGAGGAGATGTATCAAATCTTGAGGGGCTCGTGTCAGATTTGTTATGCTATGTAGTTTCCTTCAGTGTATTGTAATGCATTATATGGATGACCATGGTTTGTCTAGGCATTGGACGAATTACGCCCCTCTATGAATTAGTAGTTATTTCCCCCTCTTGCTGGCTATTCTTCCCTGCGCTGTCCAGTCCCAGGCCCTGATTTATTGGGGCATTCGGATGTTAGAACTTTGCCCTGCCCCAGGCTCCTTTTCCCAGCCCTCTCCCAGAGCTGCCTGCCAGCTGGCTAATGTGTGGCCACAGGTGGCTGCAACTATGCGCAAATGATACCTTCAGCGATTATGATTTAGGCACCTTCTGGAAAGGTGCACGATGTTGATTTGCGTTAGCGTGGCAAAGGGGGACTCCATTCGGACAGGGACCGATATGGCGCATTATTGAAACCTGGGACTTCCGGTTGACGAGCGGCGAGCTTGTTCTTCTTCAAAATGGTATGTTATCAGGAGGGATCGGGGTGCGGGGGGTATTCACTGTGAGGAATATTTGTGTGTGTTGTTGAGTCGGCAGCGCTTCTTGGCACGCTTCGTGCCATTGCGTGAGCTTTTGTGGCTTCATGTGTATGTTCGTGGACAAATTGAGCACAATTTCGAACGCCACTAGCAGATGTCCCCGAACACTTGCCAGGGAGCCGTAACCATTCCTCTTACCGGCAGTTTGAAGCGCAGCGAGTCAGAGGCACTCTTACACTGCAACTTTGAGGATGAAACCGGGGCAAGCAATGCTTTGGATAAAGAAAAACACCTAAATACCATGGTTGAGCAAAACTGAGAAGGGAAGCTTTCCGGGTGAATTCAATCTATGACTCAGCTCAAATGTTGAGATTCGTTGAGTGTCGCCATTACATATGATGAGGTGTTTTGGCTTGCGAACATGCTGACAATGCTGAGGCTTCAAGCAAGTGCCGTAGGCACATGAACTCACCTCGAAGCCGCTGGCAGGCGCACTACACTGCGAATGTGTGCAGGCCCCATCCTTAGCTGTACATAAATCGCTGCGTGCAGTTGGTGGAACGCCCTCACCTGGAAATTGATCACACAGCCTTAGTGAAGGACCAAAGGATATTGGCTCGTGCAGTCTAGTTGGTCTCTGGAAGGTTGCTTCACTCGGAGGGAGAATGTGAGTTGCCAACACGAGCGAGAAATGACGAGAGCTCTGTTTCAGACCTTTTTGTAGAATTTGGTTCAGCTTCGTCAGGTTCAAGAACCGCGGGCTCGCAGTGCCATTTGCCGATGCCTTAAAACCGTGATTGAAGTCGCGCACGTGGCGCACAAGGGCAGGAGGTTGGTTAAGTGAGCCAGAAAGGATGACTCAGGTGGCAGAATGCACCCTCAACCCGCTGTTAATAAATGTCATTTTCGGTGGAGTCCACTTCAAGTGGGCAATGTGATTAGTGCGGTCCTCTGGACAAATCCGATTTCATTCTGATTCAATGGGCTGCTCTCGTTGCCCTGACACATGTCTGATAATGTGCGACTTCTGGTTGCAGCACTGCAGCAGAGCGGGGTCCTACGTTGGCAATGTGCGAGTAGGTGAGGATGCGCATTATACCTGAATGCCTGATGTATTTTTACTTGTTTAGTGTTTATTGGTCACTAACAAGAAGGAAGGACATGGCTTTAAGCATGCTGATTGCTTGTTCCCGGGAGACAAGCGACAGGCGACTGCCTACGACACGCAGGAGATCCCAAGAATTTCCAGCGCTGCACGGCCAGAGGATGGGCGGACAGGGGACATCGAGATGTCTCTAAGTTGGGCTGTCCCAAAACGTTTGGTCTCATTTCCTTCAAGTGGCAACCAACAGGAGTGATAGAACATAGCTTCGAAGTGTGTGTGTGTGTGTAGGATTACTATTGGTCCCTTTCCCAGTGGTGACCAACCCAAGTTGTGCATTGATGAGCGTGATAAAAGCTTGAATGACAGTTATCAGGTGAGGGAGACTTGGAGCCCCAACCCTGAACTTTTTTTGATGGGGGTTCCTTTCTTTCGCCTGCCAGCACAAGAAACGCTTTGTTGAGCCAACTAGATTCAGCTAGCAAGCGAGCTGTCAAACCAATGTGCTGAAGACTGTTGCGAGCAGCGATTCCGCAAGATGTTCAAAGATTCGCTGCACACACGTTGTCGAAGCAGGACTAGCCTGCCGGTGAACCAGTTTGGGCAGAGGAATATATTTATATATATATATATTGCCTTGGCTTCACTGCAATGCGCATTGCAGGACGTGGCAAACTTTGCGTCCCAGGCTTGGAGGGTTAACATTTACCTGCGGGCATTGCCAGAAGTGGTGATTTCTGGCCAACGTGCTTGGCAATTGTCCACTGGCAGCTGACATCTAGCTACGTAGGTTCAGATAAGCAGGGTTCAAAATGTGCCGCGCCCGTGTCAAGTTACAATATTAGGATCAAATACGTGTTCGTGTCTTTCCCGCACTTGGGAGCAGGTGTGTAACGGGCCCTGGACATGCACTTGGTTGGTTGGTGAGGGCCCTGACCTGCGCGTGTTGGCGTCGCAGGCGCCTTTACCTCCGGTGGGACGCCCTGGTTGCTGTCCCTTGCCCACACGTGTACTCAATGCGACTCGGTGCACATGTGGATGGCATATGTGGTGGGCACTTTGATAGTGGCCCAGGCTGTTCTGGACCCAAACCGAGCAATTGTCAAAGTGTTTGGTTTTGCTGCTGCTTGAGGCTTGGAGGGATGCCCAACTGGAGGAAATTTCAATGGCTCATTTGCAGGCGCTTGGCGCCCGTTTTGTTTCATCTTTCAATAAACGCAGACGTGACGGAGACGACTCGATGCGCCTGAATACCCTGAAGAACCAATCAAAAGACACGGCAGTGTGTCGGAGTTCACTTACAAAAGTATGTTGCAGGCAATCAATCGGGTTGTAAATGAATGATACAACGGGACTAAAGTTGAGCGCAGTCCAAGTGGTCAACTTGGTCAAGTTATTTGTCGACCAGTGGAGAGCAGGACCGCAAGCTCTGTGCAGCACATCATAAAACACAGTACCTGAATTCGACACAGTCCTTCACTGAGCTGGCGAACAATGTGCTGCCACACTCAAAGTGTTCAAATATCGTGTTGGGTCATGTTTTGCTATTCCACCTTCTGCTGACATTTGTTGGTTAACGAGCCATTTGGCCGCAAACAAATTAGTGACCCAAGAGGGAGGGGGAGGGAGAGTGATCCTTGGCAAACAGGTTTTTGCTTGCTGGTGTATTGGCAATATCGCTTGGCTGCCATTGAAGGGAATACTAGCAACCCATATCGATTCACAGAAACGTTTCGATCTGATAAGTAGTGGATGGGATTCTTGGTCAGGATTCAGGGTCAATGGATCCCTTGTCCGGAGAGGCCAATAAAGTCTAGAGCTGCCAATCATACAAGGGTTTCCTTCCTTGCGGGATATCGCCTCTCAGGCCCAGGACTCCTACTCCTTTGCGCGAGCGGCACCTTGGACTGATGTGGTCATGGTGGAAAGGTTCCATACCAAAATTGATCAGTGAGGCTCAGCGCCGCAGCGCTCAGCTTGAGTCAGTTCAACAAACCCTTGTTTGCCAACTTCTCGGCTCATATATTGGGCCACGTGCCGCGCACACGATACTGGAGAGTTGCACATAGGCAGACAGCGTGCGTGCGATGATAGATTCCAACCATCATCGATTAGATGTACATGTTTCTCTAGCCAGGCAACAGCATTAGTAGTTCCTGCAACTCAGTTGTTCATCATGGATCGCACAGCTTGTTTCGTTCTACTGGATAGAGGGCTGATTCGTAGATAGAGCCTTCAGCGCATGCAAGGTTGTTCCACCACGCGCTGATTTCAAGTTGTATGTCACGTATGCTGTGTCCGAACAAGGTCTTGACACAGATCACGGAACCGATACAATTGCAAAACGAGCCCGTATCAAATAAACACGTGATCTCTTTTGGAGTTGCGTGTCTTTGCTCAGGTGCAGGGCCATGCCAAGATGCTGAACTCGGGCAACGGAAATCCGATCCTGAATCGCTGAGTCAGCTGGCAGAGGAGGATGTGCATCCGTGCAATGGACAGGTTCGTTTGGGCAAAACGACGAGTTTGTGGTTGAGAAGTTTCTCCCTATTACTATGCTAGCTGTAGCCGCTGCGAGCAGGAGGTCAATGATGCTGAAACGACCGTTTTCTCTTGGGCAAGATGAAATCCTTTGACAACTTTCGACAGTCATCGGCTGACTGCTGAGCTCCAAGCCCTTTTTGGCAATGTACATTCCCGCGGTGCTGGCCGCTCACCCGGCTGCTTTCACCCAACTCCCCGCAGCGTTGCCTCAGAAAGGCCGATACTTGGGATGTGCAGAGCTGTTGGCAGAAAAGTGGCCTGGATTTGTTCTTCCAGCTATATACTGTACTATACAAGCTGCCAGGCCACACCGCCGTTTCACTGTGGCACAGCCGGCTCAACGGGCTACAACTGTGCGGTCCCGCAAAAGACGCTTGTGCGGGGAGCAGGGTCACTACACAAGGAGGCTACACAAGTGGATCCACACCGGGCTCCCAAGATACGGTTTGGACGACCGCTTTTTGGCAGGCAGGGAAGTGATGTCCCGCTCCTTATCAATTCCCAATTATTCCAGCGGCAAGGTTATTCCTCATGAGGGTAATTAGCCTGAGTGCGCTTTGTTCGATGTGGTTGTTGGATGTTTTGGGGGCAGTTCGGCCCCAAGAGTCCTATGGCCGGCTTTTGTGGTTGCAGACGCATGCTTCCCGCTGGTTGTGAAACATGTGCACTCTGTTTTCTGGTTGGTTTATTGCACGGGTCCTTTTATTCAGAGTCCGCCTAAGCCCTACACACCCACTACTTCCAGTTCTTCCGTTTTGCCGCACTACGCAATATGGAGGATGAAGTTCGAGGACCTGGATGAGGCTCTGAAGGACTGTACCGCCGGGAGCTTGTTGTTTCATGGGAAGTTTGTATTTTTCTTCGTAAGCATTCAGTATTTGTTGGGGTGTGTATTTGTTTAGTATTCGGTGGAACTCCCTTTATGCTGCGGTAGGATTGAACAGGGCATTCCGCGTAGGCCGTTCCAACGAGATCCTGCGCCAGGTTGTTTTGCCGTACACTGTTGTGTTTTGCGAGACAGAAGTAGCATATACCGCATCAGTCTTGCAAGCTGCCAGGACACTCCCTCTGATTCCACACAACCCTGCTGGCCCCGCATTTGCTTGGGCTCGCACATAATTTCGTGGCCGCTGGCCTTTCGTAGCTTGTCGGATTGTCTCAATCCTTACCCTTGCCCAGTTAGCGCTTCCTCATTCATGTCAAGTTCGTCTTCGTCCGCAGAGTCCAAAGAGTAGCTTGCGAAAAAGGCGAGCGTAGGCGCTCGTGCAGGCGCATTCTGACGACATAGTCACGAGCAGGCACCTTCTTCCTAAGCACGCTTCCAGTGCGATTTATTTGAATGGCAAGAACTCCACCCGGCTTTCCGGCTTTCCACGAGTATGTAAGGCAGGACGAATTGTGGAAGCATACTTATTTGGTAGGCTCCTAGAGTCTAGCCCTGGCTTAGGCTGCGGTGGTTTGCCCGGACCCGCAGCAGGCCACTTGACCGGGGACATGTTGCAAGCACAACGTGCACGCAGATCAAGTTGTCGGTCGTCCTTAGCAATTTGGTTGCCAAGACAACGGGACCACTGGAATTGTCAGGAAGACACTGTGAAGTTGTTTTTTACTCGCTGTTGTTTCTGTTGTTTGTGGGAAGAGTATGATTTGTTGTACCGGTGGATCATACAATTGTTGCTAGGAGTTTTGCAAGCATTGTCCTCCACCACCCTGTTGTATTCGCTTGATGTTTCTATTATTTCTCCTGTGCACTGACTGTCTCTTCTGTTTTTGTCCCTTGCCACATGGCAGGGTGAGCCGAAACCGGATCGAATGCCAAGAGCCCAGAATCCAAGCTTTAGTAGGATGTTGATTGATGCGTGCCCGCTGTTGGAATGGCACGTGGAACGTAAGCCCCACCTGCGCCAGGCCTCAGAGGCAGCCTTGGAGCGGGCCAAGCTGGGCTTGCGGGCAGTCTTGGGCAGCTGCCCTGAGCAGCTCAGAAAGGTCGGGGCCGGGAATGTCGACCCTTGTTTGAGGTAGTGTGCTGCCCGTAGCCAGAGCACGTGGTTGTGATTTGCTGCGGGCGTTGCCAAAAAAGTCCATTGATCGGTGCAGTTCAGTTGATACCATCTCATTCCGGAGGACCTGAGGGCCTAGGCATCGCGGCGTCGCATCCATCAATTTGCTTGCCGGTCGCCAGGTAGTGCTACTCAGCCACGTGGGTGCCCAGGAGGGTAAAGGAGGGCGCACGGCTCAGAATGATGGCCAAGTGCCAAGGGCTCTTTGTGTGGTTTGACGATGCATTTCCCGGTGCGACCGGGGGCTTATTACGTGTTCGTGAGCTTCCGTGTTCGAACAGTGTGACATGTACCGAATCGGCCATGATCCGCTCCCTCACGCCTCGCGTTCCTTGAGTGAGGTTCAACCTGGGGGCATTTTTCAGCCAAAGTGAGGGCCCATCCTGGTCATCCATCGAGGACTTCCTCGCAGTCGCCAAGCCAGCCGCCAATCTATTTGGGATTGACATTTAATGTCTTGTCGAGGCATTGATTCCATATAGGGATGGATTACGCAGTCAGGCTTCCTAGCAAGTCGCATATTCACTTGAATGAAGGCATCATTCTAGCCATAGCAAAAACCGGCTTGCTAGGAGTAAATGGGAACGGCCATGAGCCGCTTCCATCGTCGACTTTAGACACACCTTGTGCAGAGAACCAGCAATGACCATCCCCCATGTGAACAGTTGCGACATTGTGCATTTGTCTCGCATTGTGTAGAGACTCCTGTTGGCCTGATGTCGCTCGCAATGATATTGATAGCCGACTGTTTTAGTAAAGATACAATGCCCAGGCAAGTTGACGTAGCCTGGGAAAGGTGAATGACTCGAGGCAAGTGGCAGCCTGCATTAATGTCAGGACGAGCTCACTTCAACCGCGTGGCACTCAGAACTCTCTGCCCATTTGCATCCGTGTTCCTGTCAATCATCAAGACCCTTCAGCGTCACTTGATTGGGCGGTACCGCACTTGCGGAGTTGCTTTGTCCAGACTGAGCTGGCTTTATGAGCGACACGTGCTGACATTCCTTGTGATATGCTTTGGCTTCTGTCCAAGGCTCGATCCAGAAGCGCCAGCAAAGCACTGTACCACGTCATTGCTGGATTGCCCAGAGCTGGCTTTCATACTATCACATTTGTACTGCTTTGTCATTGCAGAAGGCTTCAGCGCAGCCTTTTGCTGGGTGCGTTTTGACATTCTCTTGGATAGAACTTGGCCATTTGCCAAAGAGTTGTGCTTCATTGCTTCACTTATTAGGGGGAAGAATGGGCCCAGAGCAAGCTTGTGTTTGACGCTTGCTGGGCGAGCCAACCGTGAAATGAATTGACTTCTCGCTGTGTTGAGATGTTCAAGTTTCGCCGTCGAAAGTGCATGAACATTGAAGATGTTGCAGTCAAGTTAGGATGCTGATCACCTGAAACAAGAGGACAGTGTGGGACTGGTCGCGACAGCCTCATGACCCATGTACACAGCCAATATTGCAGGCCGACGGTCTTAGTCCAGTGCCCTTCAACGGAGCATGATATTTGCTGCTTCAGATGTCATTTATGCGCAAACACACAGAAGCACACACGCACAGGTGCGAGAATGTCCCTTTGCTTGAGAGTTTATTTCTACTGCATTGCAACTAGTACAGATGGCTTACATGACTGAATATATTGTCATTACTGCTCATTAGTTGAGCATTGAGTAACACGGCAACAATATGCGTTTGCAACGGAAAGTTGTTGATCGATCTGTTTGTGTTTCTTCACAGCATGTGTATGAAGGCAGCTTGAGAGAGAGCGAGTGACTGGCCTCAAGAAGGAACAGTGCAAGGTTACAGCTCGTCCCAATTTGGAGATGTTGTTTTCGCGTCAGTTAGAATCAACACTTTGCCACTTGTAAACCTTCTGCTTTGACATTCCCTTGCCTCGACTTGTCATTTGCCTTCAGGTGCGCGTTGGCGACCCCTCGCCAGACCACCGGAGGGGCAAGGCTAGCGGTTGCCACCTCTCATCACAGTTTATGTGCTTGGCCAGAGCAAGCATGTGCATGTTGTTTCTCTTGGGGGTTGACTTGAAGGTCCTTGACTTAGATTCAAGTTGGAAATAGCTAAGAGCAGCCCCATGTTTACTTGCCATGTACGCCACTCCCACACAATGACAGGCTGCAAAGCGCAGCACATTGACCAATCGAAAGAGGTCAACGTGAGTTTGATGTTGCAAAGCCAACATGAAATACAACCGTTGCAACCATTGTCCTGCGTCCTCGCAGGTGCGGTGTGTGCCAGCTGACGAAAGTGCTGCCGACATAATTTTGCGTTTGCCAAGGGTTCCTTTAATTTGGTCATCAGCGACAGGAAGCTTGCTGGATTACAAAAGCTATTGCTTCGTGCTAGACGCTAGATGCCTTTGTTGTTTTGTGTTTTAGTGAATTTCCTAGACACGAGCTTCTGACATGAGCTTCTGGAAGCATGCTGAGCTTTCCGCAGCATGCCTGCACGGATTAACTTGTGATGTCCTGTAAGTTCGAATCTGTTGACCCGACTGGACCAATCTCTGACTTTATTGGAACTAGTTATGTTGATGCGGTTGTTTTCGGGTGGTAGTGCTGGTGGTGCTGGTGGTGCTGGTTGTGCTGGTGGTGCTGGTGGTGCTGGTGGTGCTGGTGGTGCTGGTGGTGCTGGTGTGGCGGTGGTTGTGCTGGTGGTGGCGGGGTGGTATCGTTGACATTGTGGTTGTGGTTGTTGTGGCTGCGATTGTTGTCATGGTTATGTTGTGTTGCGGCAATGATAATTCATTGAACAAGCTGAGGCACTGAACAAGCTATGATGATTGGTAAAACCCGCCCAATTCAACAGCTGGCCAGCTGCAAAAGGGTGTTGCTTGCATTCTGGTCCTAGTGAAGAAGCATCAATGCCATGCTTTGCTGTATGACCATGTTCTGGTATCCCGCTCCTCAATTGGAGGGCTCCGCACTTTTTCAGATTCCCAGTTTGCCCACGGCAGGCATCGAAGGTTTTACCTCCCCAGAGACTGCTGCGGAGGCGATTCTTCAGGCATGACGGCTGGGATGAGATTGTCAGTCAACGGCGATGTTTTGCAGGTGGTGGGAGTTTGGGTGCTGTCCATTTAAATCTCTCCCACCAAAAGGGGTTCCTCGATATGACACGTTTCCAGTCTGCTATCCAACTTGTGTCCCGCTTTGACGCAGCTAAACGGAGAAGAGCTTTGGGTGTTTTCCTTGCAAAGAAGGAGGTAGCTTCCGGTGGCCAGCGGGGGTCATTGATAATTAATATACTTGAAGTCGAGAAATTGTCAGTTCAACAGCGAGTCGTCAGTGTCTCTTTCAGGGGAACTCCCCAATGAAAGTGCACCGTTGGTGCCTTCACCATCCCTTTCAGCTTGACTACAAGTCGCCGTTTGAAATCCGAACGGATCAATTTGGACTTGTTGGAATTACTTACTTGGAAAAACCTTCAACCAAAAACAGACGTGTATGTATCTTGCTTGGCCTTTTCGGTCTGGGAGGCAAATAATGCAGTGGTCTTACAAGGGCTTTTTTGGGCTGAGCGACAAGAGTGAAATGCGTAATGCGAGTTGTGCCCTGGCTTTGCCAAAACGGCGCTTGTGTAGGCCATAAGCAATTTAGTAGCCAATCGAGGCAATTGCGTAGTGCCCCAGTGCATCCTAGAGCTTGTTAAGACCAAATAAAGCCAAGTAAGGCAGAGTATGACCAGATAAAGGCACACTCATAGCTAAATTGATTGGGCGAAGGGGTTGTTTGTGAAGTATCAGTATGATACGACTTCACTGTTGCTTTACAGTAAATATGCAACAAACAGCTTGGAATGCGTTTGGGTAGTCTTGAATGTCAGGTGTCCGGTTGTAGGTGCAGTGTTGCATTTAGCATGCGTTTCTTCATGAACCAACAGAAACACACCAGCGGCCTGAACCAGACTTGGCTGGCATTATGTTGGTAAAAAATGGGCTACACATGGGTGTTTGTCAAGCCTTGTTTCGGCCAAATAGCTATGATGCATTCCTGCAATACTTGTTTGGGCGCATTTGGCCTTACGTATTGTATGGGGGCGCGTCCTTGAAGAGTTTTGACCTCCCGGACACATGGTGCCCCCACGGCTTGCCTTTTGAATGGGCATCCTTCAGGTTCCGTGTGTGCAGATGGTATCGAAATGAGAAGGAACTGTGGTGCGCGTATTGACAGGCGGTTGGACATTGCTATGGTCTTTGTAGCCCCCTTTCTGTCCCTGGCAGGTCTTCAACCGCTCAGTGAACACTAGCTTCGCTGTGGTGGAGGCGTGGGGATATTTCTGGAACATCATTTGAACAACCGAACAGGAGTGGTATTTTTGAAGTGGCCAATACATATCCTCAATACGATTTTGCGGAGCACTCATCCAAGGCAGAGTTGTTGGTCTATTGCAAGCTGTGAGGCAAATGCTTGCTGGACTACTTGTAAAGTTGCTTCAACAGGCAAATCAAGGCAGTTTTCACTCAACCCAGTTCAAAGAGCAGTTCTGACAGTTTTGCCAAGTTAGGGGACAACGTCAGCGTCGAGCTTTTGATCGCACCAGTTGGACGGGCGATACTTTTCACCTTCCATTGTGGATTGTGGGTCCAAGGCATGAGCAGTGTTGCAAAGAACAAGTAACATGGGCTCCTTCAGGCCTGCGTGCCTGCAGCTTAGGCAGTGGTTTTGGTCGACACCATGGAAGCGGTGAGAATCTTGTGAATTGCGAGACTGATTCGTACCATTGCCTGACTGAGTTTTTGCCACTGGCTTTCACCAGACCACAGACGCACACACACACAGACACACACACACACAAAACAAAATGCAATACACACACACACAAACACGCAACCCCCGGCCCACACACACACACACGCACAAATACAACACACACAAACACGCAAACCCCCACCCGCACGCACGCACGCACGCACGCACGCACGCACGCACGCACGCACGCACGCACGCACGCACGCACGCACCCCCACACACACACACACACACACACACACCCACACACACACACACACACCCACACACACCCACACACCCACACACACACACACACCCACACACACACACACCCACACACACACACCCACACACACACACACACCACACACACCCCACACACACACACACACCCCACACACACACACACTCACACTCACAGTCACACTCACACACACACACACACCACACACACACACACACGCACCCACGCACGCCGCACAACGCACAAAGCACTGCACAATCCCAAACATATAATGGGGTAATCCTTTTCAAGACTTTTTGCGCAGTTTTCTGTTTGTTCATCCAATCTCTTGAGGGGACGTTGCGGGACACTGCGCTGATGTTGCCAGCTTGTTCTGCTGTTGATATTAATTATCCTGTCCAGGAGGATGGCGATGAACAAGCCGACTGGGGTGAGTTGCTGCGCACTGAGAGCTATTCAAGCACTTACCTGTCAGAAGCAGAGAAGCGACGCATGAAGGCTGGAATCACGCCGTCCAAGGTTTTTTCATATTTTCTGACAGCGCAGTGTGCGCCTTGTTCCTTGGGAGAGTTTGGCCTGTGACTTTTATCAACTGCACAAGCTGCAAGCAGTTCTCACCTGGATTTTGCTCTTACAGCACAAGTTGGTACAACTTGCTCGTCAAATTTGTGAAAGGCAATACACGGTTTCGGAACAAAACACATGGTAAGGTGACTGTAAGGCATTCGTCGTAGCCGGTGAATGTCAGATCTCCCCGTTGCAACCTAAAAAGTGTCGCGGTAGTCCAATGCAATAGCGGGGCTTCGACGGGCAGAAGGCCACACGATGTTTTTCTTGATTCCTGGAAGGTTGGCGCTTCTCAGGGCTATGATTTTCCATTGAGACATTTCCCATGGCCTGAGGCTTCTTCCCTTCGTCGGGCCAGAGCTTTGGCGCTTGGAGGTGAAGAGCGTGACCCGGACAGTGCCTGGAACCTAGACTTGACCGGACATGAGGCCAAGGCCATACGGAGACCCCGCAGTTTCCTTCCCCAAAATACTGACTACCCCAATTATGAATCTTATGCTGGGAAAGCCATAGTCCCGGCGTCTCCGCTTTGCCCAGAGGAAGCAGGAACCGCGCTACAAGGAATTGAAAAGGATGTGTTCAACCACCTGCTTGCATTGTCAATTCAAGCCCATAGGTGTTCAATTCAACCCTTGTTGTTGAAGGCAATCACCCAGGCTTTTTGCTGAGATATGCCGCAATTCAGGGAAGTTGTTGGTTGGCCGAATCATAGTTTAATTTTGAGAGGTTCGGGGTTGCGTCAAAAAAGTGTTCTGACCTCTTTTCCCCTGGCGACGGGGTAAGCAGCTTAGCTCAGGAGAGAGGCAAGCTCTTCTTGGAATCCAAGGTTCCAGGAGATGCTTCTATTTGAGAGTCCCGTTGACCTTTGCAGCGTCGAAATTATCTAATTGTCATGTTGGCAAACGTATTGGTCCATGGCTAGTTTGCATCTTTTACATTTTGCAGATCGTTTTGACAAACACCGAGGCTTTTTCTGCAGCAGTGGTCCGACGAGTTCTTTGGCCCTGGCAAGAGCGCCTTGAAGCATGGAGCACTTTGACTGCAAGCATCCGGCCGGCTCTGTGCTTGAGATGGCTTGCACAAGACAGTCACTGGAACGAGTTTCAGTTTCAGGGGTGTCGTCAACAGGAATTGGGGGCCCTAGGTTGGGACCGACCAGGCCATGGGTAGGTTGATACGCAGCTTCCCTTGCAATTTGGTGTTTGATTGCCAAGTCATTCAAAAAGGCCACGAAGCCAACCTTTGTCCGAAAAGGTGATGCCCGATGTGTGTTTGGTATGCCCTGCTTCTTTGGTCTGGCCAGGTGGACTGTGAGGAATAGACAGGGGAGAGTCCTGAGAGCCATTTGGGCAGTGGAAATTCCACCGATCTAATAAGAACGGCTAGCACAAAGTGGTGACTTGATTGGGTTTGCTTGAACATCCAGGTCAAGACGCCTGTGCTGCCCTGAGTTCTGCAAATGTGCACAGCTGGCTGAACTTGGAGCGTACAGTGAACTTGTGGGCAAGCCCGGAGTTGTCACAAGGCACAGCTCATCAGCCCTGTCCATGTTGCTGTTCGGTTGTTTTGTTTTTGCAGAGTGAGCGAATCACAGCTTCACTCCGGCGATAATATATATATATACATATGCGGCGGGCAAATAGAGCTTCTCCATTTCATCCCTCAACATGTTCACAGAGCAGTCCTGAGCAGACTTGAGCAGTCCTGAGGTGCAATTCGAGCGGACGCCTTCGGGGGTGCTCTTCAAATTTCGGCCCTTGACAGAAAGGGATGCAGGCAACTTAGTTTTGTGCTCCCCGAGCTGGAGGGCTGTTGGACGCAGCAGAACCAAAGGAACAACCATTTTTTGTTAGTTGCCGCCTGGTTCAACCAGACTACCGGCAGTGTGAACCCGTAAATTCGTCTGTATCGGACTGATCAACCACCGAAGAAAGCCTCCGAGACAGCGGTCCATTGACTTGCATACTGTTGCTCTTGTTTGACAATGTTTGACACTGAATCTTGGATGGCGCTTTGCTGGCCCTTGTCAGGTGAGTACATAATAGTACATATTTCATTGGCACACCCAAGCCCAACACTTCAAATCCACAAAATCAACCTCGCCGAAAGCACGCGCGCCTGGGTTTCAATCGTTCAACTTCGACACTAGCATGAGAGTGCATTGTCAGAAAACTGAATCTGCCAGGAGCGTGTAAGCCAAGAGTGCACAGTGCTTTCAGAACTGCCTTTCGACTGTTGTTTCTCTTGGCTCCTAAAATCAAGCTGGAGCCTGTGACACTATTTGAGTCTACCTGCAGCCCTGATGAGAGACTTCAGATAAACCAGGCCGCGCTTCGAAGTATTTGACTTATCAGTGCTTTTACGCAGGTTGCACAAGCCATTTTCCAGACTTGTCCTGAATCACACCTGACTTGCTGCAGCTGACTATTACGATGTTGTAGCTAATCTGTGGACCGTGTCACCTCTCAAACAATGGCTTGAAGCATGGAATGTTTGGCTTTGCACTGCCAAAGGACCAATGAGGATGATCTGAGAGAAGTGTTTAGGAGGGATGCAAAGGAAGCGCGCACACACACACATCAGATTTCAGGGTTGTGTTTGTCGCAGGACAATGAACATCTTCTTCACGACTTGGAGATGCTAAGAAGATGATGCCGAATAATTGCCAACCGGTCACCAGTCACCAGCGCAACGTTGGGGCGAGTGTCCATGCCCTTGTGCCAAGGAGTCCTTTGAGAATTTGGAGGAGGGTGGCATCGAGTTTGTGGTAGAGGACTGGTTGCACACCTCTATGGTTTCGGAGAGGGGTCCAGTATGGTCCAGTACTGTTCTTACACCTGGCCCATCATTGAGAGTAATGCATCATGCGAAACATCAAATCATATACAACCAGCCAATCTCTTGAGGCTTGGCTTGTCAGAAATGCGCAACATGGGCCAACGTGGTTGACCAGCCTTGGTTCAGCTTCAGGAGCCTGAGTCGTGTCCTGCCCGAGTGCGGGCTCGCCGTCGATGGCCTCAGTTCTGTCCTTGTCAGGATCAGGTTGTAAATGGCCTTCCCAGGGCATTGCTGATTACTGCAACGTTGTCGTGTACTTTGCCCCGCCTGGTTTGTCAACTCACTCAACACAAATATAGCAAGCCTCAGAGACAAAACCCACCTCTCTTGTAGAAGGAATTTTGATGTCACTCAGTCCGAAGGTACGGAGGTCCTTAGGTATTGATCGGTATGGTCCGATCCGTTGTCACACCAGCACAGGAAACAACGATTTGTGTGCAACCAGTTGCATCGGTAAAACTGGCAGGTCACAAAGTCATCCCACTGCTGCGGAATTGCTGGCTGGCAGACTCGGCATTTCTTAATCACCTCGGTTTTGTGAGTTTCTCAGGAAGTGTTGAGCATGGTTTCTGCATGTTACTGCTCTACGGCTCACAAACGTGTACTGTCACTGGGAGAAGGATTGGACGAGGGGCGCCTCACTTGTCGATCAATTTTATCTCGTGGCGCGCGAGATGTTTGCAAACGCTTGTCCATGTCCAGATCAGTGTGCGTTGGCCACCCCAATGTGATATGCCCATTCCAGCCCCCAGTTTCAATTTGTTTGGTGGAGCGAGCTGTTAGCAGTGCGGTTCTGCCATTTGGAGCTTTGGCGCAGGATTTCATTGCCGCATGCCAATGCCAGCAAACAACTCGTGGTTGACAAACGCAGCTGTCACGCGTGGCTTCAAGCATGTTCATCGCAACAGCGTCCATCAACGCGAGACCGCGTGAACAGCAACTAACAAACAGCTCCATTAAATTGCACCAAACCAATATGTGTGCATAAAACATGTGCCTGTGGTGCAATGTGGTGCATATTTGTCAGCTTGATTTTAGGGGTGGCTCTGCAGGGACCATGTTCGTGTTCGATATGCCCCTCACCATTTGCCTGGTCGGACAGCGCTTCCGCACATTGCCGAGCAAACGCAGCGATGTTTCTAGGCTGCTGCTACGGATGGAAGGTTATTCCAAAGGAGCACGTTCGTTCGGTGGGGTTCAGGCTGGAGTAAGGCTTTGTCCTGGTCTATTGGCAGCGATTCAATCAACGCATTTGGGAGTGAGGGCATTAGATCGGACTTTGTTTGCCATGTCTTTCATTTGGCCAACTTTGGGTGGAGTAACCCAACAGAAATTGCAACACCACGGCCTAGAGAGGGGCACGGTGAGGTTGGGTGATTCGGGATCGGCAGCTCTTGGATGCTGGGAGGAAGCATGTTTCAGAAGCCAGATCCAAGAGAGGCTAAGCTAGCACGTGTGGCCTGCTTTGCCGACCTTACGCCCTTAATCGTGCGCAAGCCATTTGCCCACTGATGGCCAATCACCTGGACAACTGGAAGCAGAGACTGAGAGAAATTGATTGCGGAGATTCGGCATATTCCCATCCCATCCCTTGTTTCTGTTTTTCACACGTTCAATGGGTGGGCACTGCTCAGCTATATGTTCATTGAATATGTAATGCATCCATGGTGTGGTGATTCTCCCCGGTATCGAGGTTAGTAGAGCGGTGCTTTGCCTGATTGCCGAAGCTGACACGTGTTGGCAGCTTCGTTTTCGTACACTAACATTCAGCCGGACCGAAGTTCCTCAGATGATGTTTGTTTCAAGGGTTTGTCGGGAATCGCAGAGGTTCTCCCTCATTGGTTGACTTTAGCCCGCTGAGTTCAATCATTGCAGGAGAACTCCGAGCGCGCCCTGCTGGAGAAGTTCCAGAGGGACTGGAAAGAGGTCGGGCCAGCTGTTCAGGGCTTGGGGCTTGCAACGATCCACATAATTTCAAGTCATTGTCAGGGACTCAAGGCGGGTTCCCTCCACCCGAGCGCATGATTAAATGTAAAGCGACGGCTTTCGCTGAGTGGTGACCATTTTTCATGGTGAAATCATTTCAGACTTGGGAGCTCCGTTTTGGCACTTGGCGAGAAAAGTCCTCGTCCAAACAAGCGCGGACGCAGGCAAGAGGGACTTAGACGTCATTCAGAGTTCCGTCTGTTACACGAGTCCCAACATTGCTAGGCAAGAATGAATCTGCTGTGAATGTCGCGCAAATATCCTTGAGGACAAAGATGAAATTGGCCGGCGTGAAGGTTTGTCTTCAGATTGGGCATCCTCCGTTGGATTCTAGAGTTCAAGCAAATACTTTTGCATGCTGGAAAGGAGCCAAGCCTCAAGAGATGCATTCAGACGCCGATCTAAATCGCAAAGAAGCGCACGAGCAAGCCACTGTACCTGCTACGCACAGCAGGCAACGCACATTTTTTGAGGCGACAACACAGCATTGGCTAATACTGTTGTGGCACATATCGACGCTACAGGTACAGTGGCCGAAAGAGTTGACTTTCCAGGGCTGTGCCGGCCAGGAGTTGAGGCAACTTTGTGTTACAAGTTACAACCATATCATTGCAAGAACAATAAACTCGCCGACTAAGACACATACAGACACACATGTCCAAGCGCACCCAGAAGTGCCGTGCTCATGCGGCATGTGCATCTCAAGTTTGATGCATTTGAGGTTGAGCAGTGAGCCACAAGGCTTCCCCGGAGTGAAGAGTTTTTGTCAAGTGTATCGAATCAAATACGACGCCCGTGGAAGAAGGCGACGCGACGGATTCCTCTTGATTTGCTGTCAATTGCGTGCTTAATTCTATTTGCAAGCAGATATGGAACTGGGTTGTTTTGTCCAAACGGAGTGGAGGGTGTTTTTGTGCTTCGCTTTTGCAGCGGCCTAGCCAGCGGCCTGGTCAGCTTTGCGAGGGGCAATATGACTTTCAGGGCCAAATGCGAGTTGGGCAAGAATCATTAGTTTCGTCACAAAATGCAGACATCCAAGTCACGTGCTGATTCCACTGGCGCGAAGCAGTGATGATTGGCTTGCAAAGGCAAGCTCGAGTATTTTAAAACGGAGCTGGGCTTTGGTAGCGGATTCAGCTGCCCACAGCTTGCCAGCCCTTGCACAGAGCACTGTTTCTGAGGCTGGTGGCTCTATAGATTATGGCCAGATAGTTATGCTGAAAAGGGCGGGTTGAGCTTGCGGATACATTGTTTTGGTAGCAGTGAAAGAGGCCCCTTGCTTGCTGCTGCAGAAAGAACTTGTATATCATAATGTCGCGTGTCAACTTTGCCTGATGCATGCACCCTCTCCAGGTTGTCGTTTGCTGTAAGTGAGGTTGCGTTGCTCTGTTTGATGTGTTCCTTGCTGGTGCAGGTGTTAAAGAGGTCTTAACCCCAAGTTCTTCGTTTGCGCTGGACCGACTTGTTCAATGCCTGAAGACCCAAAGCCTTGTTTGCGCTGTGGGTAAACCCAGCATGTCACTATGCCATCCAACGCCCTTGCTTGGACAGGGGCCTAAGAGAGTCGATTCGGTGCCAGAAGGGCAAATCAAGGGAGTTTTTAGTTTCCGCAGCTGCCTTGTCTCCAGACATGAGATGGGGTCCAAGTCATTCCTTTGCAATTTGCATGGAAAACTTTGGGAACTGACGAAAGCCGATGCCCTTGCACGATACGCGTCGTATCAAAGCCCGGCACATTTGTTCAAGAAAAAAGTGACCGTGGCCAATGTGTTCCAACGAAGCTCAAATGGGCCTGAACGAAGGCTGTGCTAGGTCCAGCCCCCGCTTGTATGACAAGGCGTAGCCACTTTAGCGACAGGAAGCATGCACACCTCATGTTAGCCAGCTGTACCATCTGCAGATGCCTTGCAGGAAATGGTCCACATCCGTAAGACGAGAGCAGATACCCATTGATGTTGCGGAACATGTGCTTTAATAACTTGCAAACCACAATCTGCTTTGCACCACTCTGCAGCCAGTGAACATAGCCCAACCTTACACAGCTTGTGAAACCCATTCGTTCAAGAAGATTCAAGGGTTTTCTTTGGTGGGATGAGTAGGGCAACATCCAGACAGAGCTCCAAGATGGTTTCCACACACATCCAGACC